GAACTAATAGTGACAAAAACAAATACATTAAACTTATCAAGCTTTGCTGTGAAGGAAAACACTGCATTCTCTAAGGGAGAATGATAATGCAGGGTAGTCAGCAAAGGTCTCTCTGAGAAAAGTGGTTATTCCAGTGCAAAAAGATGGGCATATATGCAACACCAAAAGAAATAGCTTTCGATATCCAACGGGTTGAACTGGGAAAAGGTGAGACTGGCGAGTAGGAAAGGACTGATGAGGTTTGGATTTAATACTAGGCATAGTTAAGTGGGAACCCTTTGAACAGTTTTAAGGAAGTCAGTGGTGGGATTTGATTTCCATTTTAGAAAGATACCTTTGGATGTTGGATAAAAAGTTGGGACTTAAATCCATGGCTTCTTATTCCCAGTCCTTCTGATTTATCAAGGTCTCCCTTTTAGTCCCTAAAAGCCAGCCTGAATTAAGTAGAAAGTACAAAATAGCAATGGGCCTGTCTCCAAATGGCTTTCTCAGGCCTGTGAGAAATTTGACAGTAAAACAAAAAGACATTTCAAGTTCACATCTCTAACCTGTTGAGCATCTACAAAATAATGAACAGGTCTCAGCTCTATAGTTTCTCTGTCAAATAAAGACCCCCTTTATTATCTCAGATATGCTATTTATTGCCTGATGTCACGCACAGTCCTCAGTGCCACGGTTACCGTTGACCTCCTTTCTGAGCTGTAGCCTGTGTCTGTGCTTTTTCCAGGTAAACCAGCCTGTGGGGTTGATGGAGAAGCCTACGACATCAGACTCCCAGCTGGTGTGTGCCAGTTTTAGCAGCTCAGCACTTTGTTTTTTCTCAGAAGTTTAAATGCTCACTTTAGACTTATGTCTTACTTCAATTTTGACATCATTCCTTTTTGGCAAGTGTCTCCTTAATTGTATTTATTTATACTGTATACTTATAAACTGATGCAGCTGATTATTCTGAGAACCGTCTACCTGTTTATAAATTTATTCTGCCCCTCAAGAAGTACTCCGTGTGCTTTTAATCTGTTGATTGCTAATTCATTTAGCAATTATCTATTGACGTGTAGAAGAGCTGTAGTGTCCTGGAAAGAGAAAGGACTTTAGAGGCAGACACCTAGGTTAAATCATGACTTAGGGCTTTGAGCAAGTTTGTTCTTCATCTTCAAAATGTATAATAGTGTAATAGTCATTATAAAACATCAAACTATATATAAAACTAGTTTGTATGATGCTAAATAAACTTTCACTATTAAATCAGTTTTATCGATTTATAATTGACATCTAATAAACTTCATCTGTTTAGCTTACACAATTGATATGTTTTGATATATATAGTCCCATGAAGTCATCCCATATCATTCCATAAAAGATGCTTGCTTTTTGGAAGAAAAACTATGACAAACCTAGACAACATATTAAAAAGAAAAGACATTACTTTGCCAACAAATGTCCATATAGTCAAAGGTATGGTTTTTCCAGTAGTCATGTATGGGTGTGAGAGTTGGACCATAAAGAAGACTGAGCGCTGAATAACTGATGCTTTTAAATGGTGTTGGAGAAGACTCCTGAGAGTCCCTTGGACTGTTAGGAGATCCAACCATCCCATCCTAATGGAAATCAGTCCTGAATATTCATTGTAAGGACTGATGCTGTAATTGAAACTCCCAATACTTTGGCCACCTGATGCAAAGAACTGACTCATTGGAAAAGACCCTAATGCTGGGAAGGATTGAAGGCAGGAGGAGAAGGGAATGACAGAGGATGAGATGGTTGGATGATATCATTGATTCAATGGACATGAGTTTGAGCAAGCTCCAGGAGATGGTGAAGGACAGGGGAGTCTGGCATGCTGCAGTCCATGAGGTCACAGAGAGTCGGATACAACTGATCAACAAAAATGAAATCATCGACAAGCAGGCCTCTTCTCTCTCCATTTACCTATTTTTGTACCAGCTGTATTGGCAGTGGTGTTGGGAGAAGGGAGTGTCTATAATTTTTAAACATTAAACATTAACATTGGTCTATGTTGATTTAGTCAAAATATTTATGTGTAATTGGATTTGGCATTAGAAGAAAGGAAGATTTTAAAATTTGTTAAGCAAAAGTATCAAAATGTTTAAGAAACATTAATAGTACTTCCACGCAGATCTTCCTAGCCTGTATGCTGCAGACATCACGTAGAGTGCATGCCTTGATGTGCAAAGAACTGGAAATCTGTGCTTCCAGAGATAGTACAGAGATGACTCAGATATAGATCTCACCCTCAAGGGTCTTTGAATCTAGGGATGGAGTATCAGAAAGTTAACTGTAAGGACAATAATTCTAACTAGAAGGTGGTGGTGTTTAATTGCTAAGTTGTATCTGACGTTTTTTGCAACCCATTGGACTGTAGCCTGCCAGGCTCCTTTTTCCATGGGATTTCCCCAGCAAAAATACTGGAGTGGGTTGCCATTTCTTTCCTCCAGGCAATCTTCCCGACCCAGAGGTCGAACTGGGGTCTCCCGCATTGGCAGGAGGCTTCTTTATCACTGAGCCATCAGGGAAGCCCCTTCACTGGAAGGTGGGAAGAGGTAAAATGCAGAAGGATGTCAGAGAGTGCAATGACTTCTGTCTGGGGGTCAAGCTGCAGTGAGGAAAAGCCATTCACTGCCTTCTTCACATGTGTGTGTCCGAGACTGGTGTGCAGAGCAGCTCAGACAGATACAGACCCTGCCCACTGATGACTTCAAGCCTTGTACTGTGCATCATGGGCTGACAGGTTGGGCACCTGCCCAGCTTTCCTTCCTGGACGGCTTCCAGCATTTCTGAGGATCAAGTGAGCAAGCAGGACCCCAACTCAAGTTATCTAGTGATCAGAATGCCTAACTGACTCCTGTGAACGGGGAAGCCCCCTGTGGAGTCCCTGCAGGGATAATAGGGCTGTCACCCACCTCTGGGTCAGGAGGAGCCTGCATGGGGTGCACACAATGATAGATTGATTGCTTCAGTGCCCCAGGGTCCTCATTACCATCATAACCATCATCTTCTGCTGCTAGTGCTAAATAACAGATGAGATTTAATCAGATACCAAAGGGGTTCTCAGCAGGAGGGTTTGAGGAATCTTGCCCGACACTTAGGCTCTAGTGCTGGAATGGAACCAGAATGATCTTCTGTGGTGAGACTAAATGTATCACGCACTGTGTGAATTCTGATTTATTTTTAAAACATTCTTGTGCTCATTGGCTCCCCTTTTAATAGTCTCACTGTAGCCTGTTTATTGTTACAGATGTTACTTTTACATGAGGTCACCCAGCTCTCCTTTACTTCCAAAGACAGCGTTTGCCTTTTCACTGCCGGTTGACAGGGCTGCCTGGAGAAGAGAGCTAATGTGAGGTCAAGGTTAAGGCTCAGACTCCCAGGAGATGGGACAGAGAAAAACCCTCATCCCTATTTATGCACACTCAAATCAGCATTAGTCTCCAGAGAGAGGGTGGTCATCTGGGTCCAGTGATAACCTTAATAAGGTTGCCTGGCAGAGTGCAGAGGGGGGACAGGTGTCGTGGTCATATACAAGTCAGCAAACCTCTCTCAGCCCAGCTCCTCATCTATAACTTGGGTTAATGGACTGTTTACTCCTAGGATATGTGTGAGGCTACAGTGCACTATAGTTCCTTGATGTGTGTTGGGCAGGGCAACTGCTAAATATGTTCAAAGGCTTCTACATGGTGCATTTTACATGATGTAGTTGGAGGACCACTGTCCAAATCCAGCTTGCCACTGATGTTTGCAAATACGCTTTTATAGAATATACCTATCCATACAGTCTTTTACGGACGTCTGTGGTTGCTTTCACATCACAAGGCTGTGTTATAGTTGGAACAGGGACCGTATGGTGTGCAAAACCACAGTTGCTGACCTCCTGGCCCTTTTCATAAGTTTGCTGACCCCTAAGCCAGACTACAGGATGGCTGTGTGGCATTCAGAGCTTTATCTATACATGTTTTGCCAAACAGACCTCATGCTTTCTTTTTTTGCTCCATTTGCCTCTATATAATTCTTCTGACTTATTGCTTATTACAGAAGGGCTGGTTTCTGCTCATCCTGTATATCTTGCAGCATGTAAAGCAGGACCCTGTACACAGTAGTATGTGATACATGAATGAGGTGGTGTGGAGCAGAGTGAAAGGGTGTAAGAGAAGAGAGAAAGATTTCATGGAGGTTTGGGGAAGGACTGCACACAGTAAGGTGGCTGCCATTCCAGTTGCAGAACTGGCGTGGGGGATGCTGTACACTTATGAAGGGAGGCATTACCACGTGATGGGAACAGCCTGGGAGCCAGGACACCCAGACTTGAATCCCAGGTCAGCCAGTTCCTCATGAGACCTCAGACAGGTTGCTTCAGCTCCATAAGCCTATTTCCTCAACTCCAAAGTAGGGAATGATGAACCCTCTTCATCCTGGAGTTGTTTTATGGATCAAATGAGCTATTGTGAGGGAAAGTCTCTATTGTAGTGTTGGCACACTGGAGTCATTCCATAAGCTACTCTTGAATGATTATGGTTCTGGCTTTTTAGGTACCATCCATGCTGTTTCCCTCATTGTGAAGCAAAGAAGGTCAGCACACGGGTCTGGACTCTGGAGACTAGACCATTAGTATTACTGTCTTCCACAGTTAGAGAACATACCCCCAGGCCAGCAAATGTACACTGACCCAGCAGGGACTAGCTCAGTGAGGATGAGATTAATGCAAATGAGTCACTCATGCTGAAAAAATAATCCAGGACATTAAGTGTCACTATACAATATTAAGAATAATTGCTTCACGTGACTGACGCATTCATTACATTTTCCATTCATGGGGTATTTTTTTAAGGGACAGAAAGCAAATGTTTAGTAGAAAATTTACAGCCTTAAATCTAGTGGGATTTATTCATACTACAAACCATTTATGCAAAACAGATGCCTGAGGCACAGTGCCTGCGTGCACCTGTGGATTTGGTGGTTATATTTCTTTTCCCCCACTCCTCCAGTTCTTGCAGACAACCTGAAATCCAACCCTGGAATTAAGTGGCAGTATTTCAGTTCGGAAGAAGGAATTTTCACTGTTTTCCCAGCACACAAGTTCCGGTGTAAGGGCAGCTATGAGCATCGCAGTAGGTATGTTGACTTGTTTGCCAAAGTTTTAATTACTGCTTAAGAGTAATCTGTATAAAATATAGACTCCCCATTCATCCACACGGCTCTGCCTCTAAACTGTGGTTTTAGAAACTTATCCTGAAATGATTTCACTATTTAACATAGGTGGGTGTGGAAATGATCAGGAAGGCAAATGATGAAGCCCAGAGCATTTTCAGAAGTATATAACAAGCCAAGTAAAACAAGGTATTTACTAAGGAATAAAAATACTGAAGCACTTTAGACTGTTTTGCACTTCAGAAACCTTTGTTGAGAGACAAATGGTAATACTTTCTCTAAAGACCAGCGCTAGAAGACTTCACGGCGTATCTCAGAGTAGAGGTTGTGATTCACAATTTTCCTTTCTGTGATAATGTGCTTGGCCATCCTTTTGACATTTACATGTCTGCTACTAGAAGTTTGAAGGTTGTCCAGAAAACACTGGATTGAGGATCGTTAACATGCCGTTTTTCTCAGAAAATAACTTGAGATGCTACCTCTTAGCCAGAAGGGCGGTAATGGTGAGAGAATTTGTATGACAAGACTCATCAACTTACAGAATCCCTTAGGCAAAGATCCTTTCCTTCCGAATCTTCACAGTTTCTCTTTTGCAGTGTTAGATGTTTGGTGCCAGAACTTCCCAAACTAGTGCAAGATGACTGGTTTACTTTTTTTTGAGTGTTAACTGCCATCTTTATTTTTATTCTTTCCATCTTTATTTTATCTATTCGCTAAACTTACTGTGATAACCACTTCATGATGCATGTAAGTCAAACCAGTGTGCTGCTGTATACCTTAAACATACACAGTGCTGTGTGTCAATTACGTCTCAATATCAGAAGCAAAAAGTAAATTATACCTAAAATTGTCCCCAGGGAAAATACTACCTCTGTGCTTCTCCTAGAAGGACATTTATATCATTTGTATGGTTTCTTCCATTCCTTCCATAGAAAGCATGGTGAAGACTTGAGCATCTTGGAGACTGTACCAGAGTCCATGACCTTGGATTCTAGGCCAGCTCATCTCTCAGGAGGGGCCAAAGACACTTTGAACCATCCAGTTCTCATTTACTTCTAAGAAGATAGGTTAGATGACATTCTGCTTTAGCACCTTGTCACAAATTAACATTCACCTTCACTCAGAAGGTTTCACAAATCTCTCCCCTAAAAAGGCATTAATCAATCCTGAAGCCTCTGTTCCCTTGGGTAAATATTCTGAGTTTCTCTCCTTATAGATTGCTGTTGCCATCTCTTTACCTGTCCTCTGAGGCTTTTGCAGAGTGTGGAGTAGGTTTGCAGAGCATGCCAGAAAGGAACCAATCTCACTGTGAGGACCACCTCTCAGATTGTACATATAATGCTGCTATTTATGTATCCCATTAAAGCAGTTTTTAACAATTTACTGTGACAGCATGCAGACATATTCTGCTTTTCATTTATGTGAGTTGAATTGGAAAAGAGGAGGTATGTCATTTTAAAAAAAAAAAGAGAATCTACCCCCCTAGCTTGGAGGACCTAAAAGTTTGGTATTTGACATGGTTGTCAATGTTGGGATAGACGGATTTCCTTATTTCTGCTGTCTTCTTCGTTTCTGTAGCCAGCAATTTTGGATTCTCTTTATTCTATTTCCTTACTTGGCTGAATGGTATTCACTAGTTAAAATATAGTAGGACCTCAGTATTAATGTAGGACTTTTGGCTTGAGAACAATTAGTGTAAACTTGGCCTGATTTTGAGTTTTTTGGTGCTTTGCCTGTATTTCTTAATTTGTGCCCAGGCTTTTGTGACTCAACTGGCATCTAACATTTCATGGAAAAATCTAGTGTTTTAAGGGTGTCCATAAAGGAGAGAATTCTCTCGAGGCTGATTTGCTCTCTTAAGCTCCCTCTAATTTGTTCCAGCTTTAAAACTGTGAATAGAGACCTCATTAAACCTCTTCTCACAAACCTGCCTGCACTGCACACTCACAGAAGGCCGCTTTGATGGGAGGTTTTTCTCCTTTGGAGTTCCCCTCTCCACCCCCACCCGCTCTTCTTAATGTTGGCAAACAAAAACCTGGCAAGAAGAGTGGCTATCACAGGCTTGGACAAATCTGGTGGCACGGTTTTAAATCACTGATAAGGGGCCTTTTGGCGGCTGACCTGTGTAAATGGCTTCGGTGCGGAAAGGAAAGAGCCGTCCCCGCAGTGGCTTTTGTCTGGAGAGAGAGGAACGAAACCTGCTATTGAGAGGTGCTCAGCAAGCGCACAGATGATAGGCTGCCTCTGTTTTAGCCAAGCCCCTCTCAAAGTCTGCAGAGAACCCAGCACTGAAAAACTGGACTTTTTTCTCCCTGCTGGTATGTCTCTGCTGCCTGTTGGGCCACCAGGTCTTTTTCCTGGGAGGGTGGACTTGCCCACAGGCTGAAAAAGCCAGTCTTCCAAAGGCTTTGCTTCTTAAAATTTTCTCCCAGTTGCTCTAATCTCTGGAAGACAGAAGTCACCAGTCCCGGTTGTGCAGACACCCATGATGGTCTTGAGATGTTGTTTTCAATGTACCAGGATGGTTTTCTCATTCCATGCTGGTCTCTCCACCCTCGTGCCATCCCCCCTGAAACACACAGAGGCCAGCATGCCTGCCTGTGCAGCACTCACAGCTGTGTTAGGTCAAAGCCTTTCTCCTAAACCAGGAGTGACCCCTGAGAGCTTCTTGCCCTTCTAGACCGATCTACGTCTCTACCGTCCGGCCGCAGTCAAAGCACGTAGTAGTGATCCTGGACCACGGGGCCTCGGTCACAGACACGCAGCTTCAGATCGCCAAGGATGCTGCTCAAGTCATCCTCAGTGCCATTGATGAACACGACAAGGTATCGATGACCCCAGTGACTCCCTCTACCCTTCCCACTAGCATTGGGTCTTTCTTGAACACCCTTTTGAAAACACTTTGTGTTTTATGGTATGTATTTTTCAGTCCACCTCTAAAAATGGCTTTGAGAAAACAGAGTGGTTTACTTTTTATTCTTGTGTCTGAGAAAGTAGCTGCCAATACTAGTTTCAGATCTCTTTTTAAAACCACTCCTGCCAAACTGGGCTTCCCTGATAGCTCAGTTGATAAAGAATCCGCCTGCAATGCAGGAGACCCTGGTTCAATTCCTGGGTCAGGAAGATCCGCTGGAAAAGGGATAGGCTACCCATTCCAGTATTCTTGAACTTCACTTGTGGCTCAGCTGCTAAAGAATCCGCCTGCAATGCAGAAGACCTGGGTTTGATCCCTGGGTTGGGAAGATCCCCTGGAGAAGCGAAAGGCTACCCACTCCAGTATTCTGGCCTGGAGAATTCCATGGACTGTATAAATCCATGGGGTCCCAGAGTCAAATACAACTAAGCAACTTTCACTTTCAATTTCAATTCAGTTCCAGCAAACTGAGTCTTGCACTTCCTTAACGGCTTCTGTTAAGACTGCTAATTAGCTGTAATTTTCACACTGCTAGTTATACTAAGGAGGAACAAGGTGAAGGCTTGGACACTGGTGAGTGGCCAGACTTTGTCTCAAGATTGAAAAGAGGGGAGGGATAAAAGAAGGCTGCTAGAGGTTTATTAATCTTTAGGACACCTTAGGGATAGGTGTGTTTCCAGCTAATGATAATCTATCACCTGTAGACATTTGACTTTTCCATCTCCTAAGGTTTTGCTCACTAATCTAATTGTTTAAAACACACACCCAGGACTTACCTGGCAGTCCAATGGTTAAAACTTTGCCTTCCAATGCAGGGGGTACAGTTCCAATCTCTGGTTGGGGAGCCAAGATTCCACATGCCTCAAGGCCCCCCCACCCCCCAAAAAAAAAAAAACAGAAAACAGAAGCATTATTGTAAAAAATTATTGAATTACAATTTAAAAATAGTCCACATCAAAAAAAATATTTAAACACACACACACATACACTTTACTGTTACCCTCACCCCACCTCCTGTTGGAAAATGATCGTTAGTACTTGTCAAGATTTTTCTCTGTGTTAAATATTGTTTTTAATGTTCTAGACAAACACCATTCTCCTGACTTCATCTTGGAACAAAAACAAAACTCGGGTCTGAGTCTGTGTCCCTTAACAATCTTTAACTGTTCTTCAAATATGATAGATTGATGCCTCTGGGCTTTTATTTTTAAACTCTTCAAAACTGTCCTGTAGGACTTCTCACCTTGCAGGCTCTTCTGAAATGTAAAACACTTTTCCTTGGCAGAATAACAAGTTTTTGTTTGCCTGTGTGTGTGTTTTCCCCTCCAGATTTCCGTATTGACGGTGGCAGACACCGTCAGGACTTGCTCCCTTGACCAGTGCTATAAGACGTTCCTGTCTCCGGCCACCAGTGAGACGAAAAGGAAGATGTCCACCTTCGTCAGCAACGTCAAGTCCTTGGACAGCCCTACCCAGCACGCAGTGGGATTTCAAAAGGCATTTCAGCTGATTCGAAGCACAAACAATAGCACCAAATTCCAAGCAAGTAAGTGCCTTTGCTTTTCTGGCATGGAACTCATAAACTAGATAAATGATGGTGATAGAAATATATTGTTAACTGATCACACAACTATGTCCAGAGGGGGTTTTGCCTAAACTGACGGGATAAAAATTTCTTGTGTTGTCATATTATCATCTAATACCAGGAACATACTAGATTTTCTCATCTTTTCCAATCAAAGGTACTCTGCATGATTTCTTTACTCCCTGAGCCTCTTCTTCCTGCCCTTTTATTAGGAACATATCCTTGTTTATTTCCCTGGAGAATATCCACATCCTTTTTAATGCTAATTGTCCACCTCACTTACTGTGACTGTCTGCTTGTGCGCATGTGTGCAGAAGCAGGGCAGCCTGAATTCTTGCCTTGATCCTTCCTTCCTCTAACCAACTGTCATTTAGATGAGCACAGCCCTTCAAATGTACAAAAGCACTCTAATTTAATTTTCATGTATTAAAGAAAATCTGGAATTAGGATGCAGGCTAAAGTAAAGGAAAGGATATTTGAAATAAGACCCATGCTTTGAAACTATTGAAAGGAATCTATGTCGTTTTCTCTTTTATATTTGAAAATCTGTTTGTTTGTTTGTTTGTTTTAATGATTGTACCCTATTGAGATAAATTTAATGAATATATTTTCAAGCTCTTCAATGTGTCTGCATTAAAACTAAGACAGCATTGGTAAATGTCCAGCTTTGTGCTGGCACATGATGGGCCCCTGAAAGAAGCTACAGTAATTATTACAGGTAATGGTAGTAGATGGTGTCTCATTTTTACGTTTCTCTATATTGTTATCTCACAGCTTCCATGGGACAGGAGTCCATCCGTTGCTTCTCTGTTTAGGATTATATAAGGCTGCAGTCTAGATATCAGCCAGGTCTGTGGTTGCATCTGAGTTTCAGAGTCCTCTCCAAGCTCAACCATTGGCAGAATTTGTTTCTTTGCAATTGTAAAACTCAGGTCTACTTGCTTCTTCAAGGTCAGGAGGAGAGCATCTTTCCTTCCAGCCCTGAATGTCAGGGAAGGCTTGGACCCTCTTTTAAAGGTTTCATCTAATCTTATCAGGCTCACTCTTCTGATTTAAATAAACTACTCTCTCTCATGGTTAACTTATTAAGAATCCCTCCATCTTTTCCATATATGTAGCACAATCACAGGAATAATATCCCATCACCTTTGCCATATTCTGTTGGTCAGAAGCAAATTACTGGTCATGCTCATACTCAAGAGTAGGGGATCATATAAGAGTGTGGGTCTTCAGGGTCATCTTAGAATTTTGCCTGCTAACCTTGGCAAGCCCCATAACCAATATTACAGGATGCCTGAGTGTAAAGTTGTCCCTAGTTCAATGAAGCCAAAGGATAAGGTTAGCCTCTTGAGCAGTCAAGACAGATTGGCTAGTTGGCCAATGCCATTGATTTGTGGATGCCCTTCACCAGCTGTTATCTGCCTGTCAGCATTCCTCATCAGACGTGCTCCTTTTACTTGATTGTTCAGTTTTCAAACTGTCTTTAGAGATGAAGTCCAATTTTGGTGATGGCACTGTCCAAGTAATAGAGAGAAGTCTTAGACTGGCAGCAGCCAGGCAGTGAGGTGTCAAGGGAGCTCAAGGTAAGGTTTGGGGCTCGTTTGGGGAGTGCAGACAGCTAGAGAGAGTATTCGCAATCAAGAAGGCAGCTGCTCTTCTGTTCAGCCTTGTAAGAGTGCCTGTCCAGTGTTGCCAGATCTTCTGTTTTAAGAGAAGCCAGAAATCTAGAATTTTATGTGAAACCCCTTGATTTTTCAAATGTTGTCATTTGTTCCGGCTTTAAAACTGTCAATAGAGACTTCATTAAAACTCTTCTTACTAACCTTCCTGCACTGTATGTTAGCAGAAAGCTGCATTGGCAGGAAACATTTCTCCTTTGGGTTTTGGGGGATTTTCCTAATGTTGGCAAGCAAAAACATGGCAAGAAGAGTCACAGATTTGGACACATTTTGATGGTACTATTTTTTAGATGTGAAAAAGGGTCTTTTTCTAGGTCAAGTAAGATGTTTTCTAAAGTTTATCTCACAGGCTTCCATTTTACAGTGTCTACTGGTAGTTCAAAGAAAGAAAAACCCAAATTAGGCTACATAATGAAACATGTCAGGAATTAGTATTACCTGGTTTATTAAGGAGAGGCTTGAGGTGCTTTCAAGCAATGTTACATAGTAGTTAAGTATGCAGATTTTGAATTTCAACCAATGTGTGTTCAAATTCCTTCTCTGAAATTTTTTAAAACTTATGTAAATTACTTGATTTCTCCAGGTCTGGTTTCCCCAATCTGCAAACTTAGGGTGTTAATAAGATCCAGTGTCTCATCATAAATATTAAGTACAGATTAGCTGTGATTATAATGATATTCAGTTTCCTTTAAGACTTATTGCTCTGGCTAAAGGAGCGCAAATACCCTAGACATCCCAATTTGACCCCTAGCCCAGAGACAGTCAAGGACCATTAGTCACCTTGGCTATAGCATAGTGAAGGGTCTACATACTCCTCTTATGAATTTATACAGTATATCAGAACTTGTATTCACGCCACAGGCAAGTATTTATTATCTACTCTACTGTTTACCTGGCACTTTTTAAAGACCATTTAGTAGGATTTTCTCAATAAGTAAGACCTACCTTATAAGGTTATTGGAAGGATTAGTCTGTGCATGAAAACCAAGTATCTGACCCATGTTGACAGCCGTATGAACAAGGGCCAAGTCATGGTGGCTTTGTGCTAATTTGCTTTGCACTAATAAGAATAACTAAAACTTTTATTCAGTGCTGGCTGTTTTCAACCCCGTGGTAGATCTGTAACAGATACCATCAACACATTTGGACTTTTTTTCTAGGTTTATTTTGGGGGTAACCGGTTGAGGGATCATTTTGTAGCAGAAGGAATATGATGGTTAGGAGTGGGGATCTAATGGCATGGGCAAAGTCCAAGTTTGGGTTGTTCTTCCCACTTTGACATTGATCCCAAGGAATGCTGGTGGCTTTCACAGGGACTTGTCACATAGAGAGGGTTACCTTTTCTTCCAGGTACATGCTATGTCTTTGCTCTGCTCCAACTGTCTGTAATGACTCACCCCTAACATTACTAATCACAAGGCTTAATGTTCCCATGAGTGATTAGAGCGGGGATACCCTAGTAAGTAGAAAAATACATCAGAGCAAATTTGGCAGATCTGATCTTTAAAAATAGAAAAATAGCTCAGTTTTGCCTAAGGATGAGGCAGGAACAGAGTCAGGGGCTGGGCAGAGACAGAGTATGCTTGCAGAACTTGTATCTTATTGTTGGGATGGAAAGAAAATAACACTTGGCAGCTAAAGGAGCTGCAGGCTGCAGGCCTTCTGGCTTTCCAGTCATGAGCCTATGCCTAAGACCAGCTGTCAGTGACAGCGTATTTTATCCAGAATCATAAAACCAAGTAAGAAAACCCAAGGGTTCACTTTAGGTCCGTCTTAAAAGTGTCCAGGAATTTCTCACATGTGTTGGTTTGTCTCATACTTTAGATCATACTTTATTTTATGATATATCTGTATCCCACCTACTAGGGTCAAATAGTATCTTTCTCACAGTCTGAAACTTAAGTGAGCTGTTTTACATCCTAAAAAAAAAAATTTTATAGGACTGTGTTTACAACATTGAAAAAAGACTGACATCTAGGTTAAGACTAGGATATTTCCTAGTGATTTTACATCAGCTTTCATACCCTAATTTCTGATGAATAAATATGTAATTTAGATTTGCAGTTTATATTTATTAAAGAATTGTTCAAGCATCAAAATTAGCTTTAAAGCTTTCTTATATATTAAGTCTTCAGTTCAGTTCAGTCGCTTAGTCATGTCTGACTCTTTGTGACCCCATGGACTACAGCATGTCAGGCTTCCCTGTCCATCACCAACTCCCGGAGCCTACTCAAACTCATGTGCATCGCATTGGTGATGATGCCATCCAATCATCTCATCCTCTGTCGTCTCCTTCTCCTCCCACCTTCAATCCTTCCCAGCATCAGGGTCTTTTCCGATGAGTCAGTTCTTTGCATCAGGTGGCCAAAGTATTGGAGCTTTAGCTTCAGCATCAGTCCTTTCAGTGAATATTCAGGACTGATTTCCTTTAGGAAGGACTGGTTGGATCTCCTTTCAGTCCAATGGGACTCAAGAATCTTCTGCAACACCACAGTTCAAAAGCATCAAGTTGTTTTTATTCAATTCTGCATAATAAAGAGTCTAAAATGGAAATTTTCAATTGGAAGAAAATTCAGTCATTGTATTCTCATCATTGTTAGGATAATTTTTTAAAATAATCTGTTCCTGGATAATAAATTACCCAACACCCAGTGGCTTAAGACAATAATCATTTATTATCTCGGTGTTTATAGGTAAGGAATCTGGGCACAGCATGGTTGAGTGCCTCTGCCCAAACGTATCTTATGAGGTTGTGATCAAACTGTTGGCCAGAGAGGCTGTCATCTCAGAGTTCAACTTGGGAAAGATCTGCTGCTGAGTTCACGCGCAGGCTTGCTGGCGGGTTTGATTCTGAGGGCCTCAGTTCCTTGCCTCTCCATAGGGTAGCTCACAGCATTCTCTCTGGCTTACCCAAGAGAGAGCAAACAGGTGGGAGCCAGGGTCTTTCTGTTACCTAATCCGCCTCTTGACACCCCGTGACCTCTGCTGCATTCTGTTCACAAGAAGCTGCTCATTAAATCCAGTCTACCCTCAACAAGGTACCGCACAGCAGTGTGAATATCAGGAAGCGGGATCACTGGGGGACCAACCTGGAGGCTGCCCACCCCAGTAGAGAGAAAGCAGTCTCAGCTGAATGACCACCACAAGAACCTAAAGAAACAAGCATTTGGCATGTCAATAATTCTTTTAATTATTTCTCAATTAAAAGAACATCTGTGTAGGTTATCTTAAAAATAGATACTGAATCAGCTTTCCGGACCTGGCTAAGGAGGAGGCGCCATCATGGGAGTTGACATCCGCCACAAGAAGGACCGAAAGTTTCGACGCAAGGAGCCCAAGAGCCAGGACATTTACCTGAGGCTGTTGGTCAAGCTGTACAGGCTCCTGGCCAGACGAACCAACTCCACCTTCAGTCAGGTTGTCCTAAAGAGACTGTTCATGAGCCGCACCAACCGGCCACCGCTCTCCCTTTCCCGGATGATCCGGAAGATGAAACTTCCTGGCCGGGAAGGCAAAACAGCTGTGGCCGTGGGAACTGTAACTGAGGATGCTCGTGTCCAGGAGTGCCCAAACTGAAGGTGTGTGCTCCGCGAGTAAGCAGCCGCGCCCGGAGTCACATCCTCAAGGCCGGGGGCAAGGTCCTCAGCTTGGGCCAGCTGGCCCTGGACTCCCCCAACGGCTGCGACACCGTCCTCCTCTCAGGTCCTCGCAAGGGCCGAGAGGTGTACAGGCATTCCGGCAAGGCCCCAGGAACCCCGCATAGCCACACCAAACCCTACGTCCGCTCCAAGGGCCGGAAGTTCGAGCGCGCCAGAGGCCGACGAGCCAGCCGCGGCTACAAAAACTAACCCGAGAGTCTACCTAAAAAGATTTTGGATGCTAAAAAAAAAAAATAGATGCTGAATCAGAGAATCTTAGGTTAGAAAGACAGTATAAAACACAACTGGCTTACTGCCCTCCTTCCATTAAAGCTGTCAGTCAGCCCTTGCATCTTTAGTGATAGGAAATCTACCACTTTAATTTTTGACGAAATCCTCTTGAAAGAAGTTTTCACCGTGAACTACGATGAGTTCTTGGTCATTAGCCCTAGCTGGAGAGTCATTTTACTCTAGAGTCTAGGTGCTTCTTCATGCCAATACAAGGGTTTTCTTTTTTGTTTTGTGTTAAAGTTTCTTTCTTTTATTTTCTATTTAGCATCACACTTTTGCTTTCAGTCTGAAGTTAACCAATTAGCCTTCATAGCAACCCTGTGATGTAAATATTGTCATTATCCTCATTTTGTTTTAGATAATGAAATTTTGGCATAGAAAGGTTAGGTAATCTACCCAGACACTACTTGAAAGTAGCGCAGCTGAGATGTGGACACAGGCAACTTGGCTCCTATGTCCACATTTTTTTTTTCTTTTTTTACTGCTCTTCTACACTGATGAATTTTAAAACAGAAATTTTTTTTGGAACTGCTTAGCATAGAGACAGATAACCTTGCAAATCTAAGTAGTCTCTGGAAGTGCCATCATTTTAAAGCCTAGTTCCCCCAAAATGTATATTCCTGGTTAAGATCCTGGGTCACTGAGGAAAGACTAAATCAGGTTCTGAATGCTCTATTTCAGAAGGCAGGAGAGACCTCCATCTGGGATGGTTGAATTACCACAACCGTGGATGCCTGGAGGAACTTGCCTTCTTTGATCTAGTAAACTCATTAGGAGCATCTCTTTACCTGACACTGGCTAAATGAGGCCTCGTGGCCCAGAACAGGCAGGATGGAAGAGCAGCAGAAGCAGGGAGATGAAATGAAAGCTTAGCATCAGAAGGGCGTGAGTAAGAAGACTGGGCCCGGCAGGTCCTTGAGGCAGGAAAGTCCAATGGAAGAGAAACTTGAGTTGCTGCCTTTAGCCAGCCTCTGATGTAACATTCAGTTTGTATGTGTTTGTTTAGATACAGACATGGTCATCATTTACCTGTCCGCTGGCATTACATCAAAGGACTCTTCAGAAGAAGATAAAAAGGCGACTCTCCGTGTCATCAATGAAGAAAATAGCTTTCTAAACAACTCTGTAATGATTCTCACCTACGCCCTCATGAACGGTAGGTAGTATTTCAAGATCCTTTTCCTTTAGATAAAATGTTCTCTCTAAGTGCATGCTGCTTTCAGAAAATAAGAAAGAACCATCACAGGGTGCTTTGATGACGGTATAAGGAGCAGATTCCTTCCCAAACCCAGCTTTCTCCCCCTTATATGGGTACTCAGGGCATGTGTCAGGATGTCCAGCCAGCTCTTCATTTCTAAAACTTCTGCAGTTACACGGTCTTACACAGGCATCTGTGCAGCACCCCCCCCCACTTTTTTTTTTGGTTTCTCCGTATATACTTGGGTTTTGATACTGTATGGAGCTTATTAACTTATCTCATTGATGTAAGATCAGGAAGCCCAAGTACTAACCTAGATTATTCTGTAAAACCAGGACTGTGAATATCACATTTACCTGCAGAATCACCAGCTGAAGCTTCCTGTGCTGCTTTCTCCCTATCCCCTTACGTAGCTGTGTCATGGCAATGAGATGTGTCTTGTGAAGACTAACTCTGATGTACAGTGAGCACCCAGGATGGAGCCAGGCACGTGCTAGGTGCTCATTAGGGTTGATTGTGTGGCTGTTAAATCAGTCTCTGAGAGAGTTTACTAAACTGGCAAATCTGATGGAATACTCAATAGTTTCCCTTCAGCAATTTAACCGTCCTCCAGTCTGACGACAGCCCAATTTTCTAGCTCCCTGCTGTATCATGTACCTTCCCCCTCCCCCCCACACCTATGAATACACAGCTCTTCCTTTTCTTCTTTGGGCCCCTTGCTCTCAGTGTTCAAAGTGGCCCTATTCTCTTGTTCTTGAGAGAACGCATCTTTGTTTAGAGTCCTCTTCACCTGTGGTCTATCTCCCCTCTCCACTTCCAGATTTCCATGCAGAACCAGCTGGCTTGAGGGGCAGTGGCTCTTATATTTTAATGGGATAAGGATTACTTTTAGATTCATCTTTAAATGCAGACTCCCAGGCGCTGTCTGCAGATTTGTGATCAGACCCTCCTAGATAAGTTCCAGGAATCTGTATTTAGGCCAGCATGATTGTTTTCCAGATATTTCATAGACTGCTTGCACATGGAAAAACACAGGGGCTGATGTCTAGAGGTTTTCAGTTTTGGTCTGCATTTGCTAGCCGTGTGGCTTATGGCTAGTTACTTAATCTCTTGGGGGCCTCACTTTGATCTGTCAAATGAAAAGAATGAAATCTCCATAGGGGTGCTCTGATAATAAATACGCACGATATGTTGTGCTTATGAAGCACATACCATATAAAACAGAGTGAGCTGAGGTCTTAGAGCTGTGTTATACAACACCTCTTGTCTTCAAGAAGCCTTTGGCCCAGTGAGGAAGACTGACAAGTTAAATGAATTAAAGACAATAGAACAGGTGTAAGGAAACATAAAAGGAAGTGATCATGCCTTTCCCATGTGTTTTGAAGGTCTGCTCAGGCAGATACTGAGCAGGTTTCTTGCAGTCACCCATCTCTTCACTGGTCCTGGATCTTCCCATGGGAGTATCATGTGCACTTGCTGTGCCCCTGATAATTCCACTTTTTGAAACTTCTGGTTACTTCCCCTAACCACTCTCATCTTTTCTCTTCTTCCCATAAGCTAGCCTGACACACCTCTCTGAAAACTATCTCTGAACATTACTCAAGAGGGTTGAAACATTCCCTTAATTCTGTCAGTTCAAATAGGGAAGCAGAATCACAGTGAAAATTGTGGTCTATCAAATTTACTATCAGAATAAGAACATGTATAGTGATGAGGATGTAAATTGGTACAGCCACTATAGAAAACAGTATGGAAGTCTCTTAAAAAACTAAAAATAGAGCTACCGTATGATCTAGCAATCCCACTCATAAACTTCTATCTGAGAAAAGCAAAAGCTCAAATTAAAAAAAAAAAAATACATGCACCCCAAAGTTCATAGCAGTACTATTAATAATAGCAAAGACATGGAAATAACCCAATTGCCCATCAACAGATGATTGGTTTAAGATGCGGTAAATGTGTGCAATGGAATATTACTCAGCCATAAAAAAGAATGAAACATTGCCATTTACAGCAACATGGATGAACCTGGAGAATTAAGTCTGAAGTAAGACAGATAAAGAAAGACAAATATGATATCACTTATATGTGAAATCTTAAAAAAAATAAAAATAATACAAGTGAATCTATATATGAAACAGATTCACAGACATAGCAAACAAACTTACAGTTACCCAAGGGAAAAGGTATCAGGGAGGGATAAATTAGGAGTATGGAATTAACAGATCCTGCTGCTGCTAAGTCACTTCAGTCGTGTCCGACCCTCTGCAACCCCATAGATGGCAGCCCACCAGGCTCCCCCATCACTGGGATTCTCCAGGCAAGAACACTGGAGTGGGTTGCCATTTCCTTCTCCAATGTGTGAAAGTGAAAAGTGAAAGTGAAGTTGTTCAGTCATGTCTGACTCCTCGCGACCCGATGGACTGCAGCCTACCAGGCTCCTTCATCCATGGGATTTTCCAGGCAAGAGTACTGGAGTGGGGTGCCATTGCCTTCTCTGACAGATCCTACTATACATAAAATAGATAAACAGCAAAGATTTACTGTGTAATGCAGGGAACCATATTCAATATCTTGTAATAACATATATTGAAAAGTAATCTGAAAAAATATATATGTATATAACTGAATCACTTTGTCGTACACCTGAAACCAACACAATACCTCAATTTAAAATAAGAGAATAAGAATGTACACAATTGGGGGTGGGGAGGGACTGGAAGAGTAAAGATGCAAAAAGAGGAATTGACAACTCAAAGGTTATTAACCAGCTCTGATCTGGTGAACAAGTTGAAGTTTACAAGGATGTCTGGAGGCTAGGACACTGCAGACTGTAGGAAGTCTGGTGTAGAAGTCTGAGAGGTTGTTGTCCCTTTCTGGCTGTCTCTGTGAGTTCTCAGTGAAGCATCCGGAGTGAGCCTGCCCTTGGTTGGGTTGCTCTTGGTGAGTAAGCCAGCAGTTGGGAAAGGGAACACTAATCAGAAGAGTGGAATGAACTGGAACTTTCAGGTCCCTCTGTGTCTGTCTCTTAACATCTCTCACTTCACCTCTCAAGTTACAGCACTTCACTTTTGGGCCACGTTTAACCTGGAAGCATAGAAGAAAGGGGATTCTGGGAAATGTAGTTTCCAGCACGACCACACTGTTGATAGAATAATCCAGTATGCCGCCCTACTTACTCTCCTGTCACCCCTGCAGAATGCTCACAGTGGAGTGACATAAAATAACCCAATCCTTGATATCTTGTGCTGTGCTCTTTGTCTAGTAGATATTCCTGTTTGTTACTTTTCTTGTACATTTTGAAAGGGCCATGCAGTTCATGACAAAGAAAGGAAACGTTTTTATTGCCTCAAATTGTCTCCTTTTATCATTCACTCCTGTAAGCTTTTCAAGGGTGTAAAATCAGGGATCAATCACATCTTTTGTGTTGTCTTTTACTCTGAAGTATACCACTCACCTCCCATTTCAATTCTGTGTCAAGCAAAGGCAACAATAGCCTGATTCTGATTCTCCTTTAGCATTGTCTGAGTGGAGCAAAATCCAACTTATTTATATACAATGTGTTAAGAAAGAAATTATATCCATTAGATCCTGCCGTGATTTTAGAAATGGACTTCCAAAGCTAGAAATATATATATATTTCCTATTAAAAAATGATAAAGTCACTGAAGGTAGGTGAACCATGAACTCTTAGTTTTTTTAATGACTAAACAGTTCAAGAATATGAGGCAAAAATCTTTTTAAAACTCATTGGTAGAATTTCAGTAGTGACTGAAATAACTTGAATTTGTTTACAGTGGTACCCATATGGGATCAGTTACTAATCCTTTTGACTGTGTTCCAACAATAGCAAACCAAAACATTAAAAAAGGTTTATTAAATTTATTTTTGTGCTATAGATTACAGATGTTGTAGAACAATACATCCCAGTATGCCTGAATCTCTTACAAAGATTTTAAAACTCTCTAAACATAAAAAATATATATTAAATAAATCAAATCCAGTATTATCCCTATAATATAAAGCATGAAAACATTTGTAATTAAAGTGAGTTTAAAGAAATGGGGTTTGGAGACATCACTAAATACAGTCCATAATTCTTTCATTTAGTTGCATGAGACTTTGGCAAGTGTTTAACAGGCAAAGAGGTAAGAAATGAAATGGTAAACCTCAATCCTTTAAAACTCTTACAACTTCATCTACTAATTTAAATTAAATGCAGACTTGTTAATCATTACTTTTGCTTTCAAATATTAAATGCAGAAAACTAATTTACATTTTATAATTAAACTTTCAAGGAAGAAATCCTTGCTGAATGGGGCTCCTCTATTTAGTCATGTGTTTTTCATCATTGCCTTTTGAAGAATTCCTTTGGCCTCTTTACTATTTGAGGAAAGATCATGCCTTCAGCTTTGTTCCTCTGCAGAAACTGGTATCTGTGTCCTGAGTCCAGATTGTCTCTGCAAAGATCCCTTTGACACTGCTAGACCTCATTGAGACCCTTATTAGATCTAAATAACAAGGTTACCCCATGGATATACAGCATTTTGTTTTACATTGTCTTCCCTTGGCTTTCTATTTCAGATGGGGTGACTGGCTTGAAAGAGCTGGCTTTTCTGAGAGATCTGGCCGAACAGAACTCAGGAAAGTATGGCGTGCTGGACCGGATAGCCTTGCCTGTGATTAAGGGCAGCATGATGGTGCTCAACCAGCTGAGTAACCTGGAGACCACAGTTGGCAGGTTCTATACCAACCTTCCCAACCGGATGATTGATGAAGCTGTCTTTAGCCTCCCCTTCTCTGATGAGATGGGAGATGGTGAGTTGGGAGAAAACTTCCTACTGAAGGAAAGTGAAAAGAAGTGGACATGAGTCAAACAGTAACTTTTAAATGTTGTTTAGTATTTGCCATGTGAGCATTAGGGGGAGTGGGCATCCCTTTCTCTGGTCAAATGATTGCATAGCCTCCCCGCCACTGGCCCAGTGAGTACTATGTTCTAGACCAGAAATCCACAGCCTCATTTCTTCCTCATTGCTCTAGCCTCAGTCGACATAATGGGTCTTGGGATGGAAGGTGGGATGGAGGTACAAGAGGAAGGGAACTTATGTACACTTACGGCTGATTCATGTTGATGTATGGCAGAAACCAATATAACATTGTAAAGCAATTATCCTCCAATTAAAAATAAACGATTAAAAAAAAACCATAATGGGTACATCTAGAAGCTTTGTGAGGATTCCCCCAAATCTAAAAGTGAATTTGGTACTAAAGAGTAACTGCATAGCAAGTGGTAAATAAGACAGAAGTGCTTGGGATTCAGCATCAAAGACAAGGCAGCACAGTGTAGTCAGATAGATACAGGCTTGACGTGAAGAGGATTTCAAATCCTACTCTACCACTTGTTATTTTTGGTAATGTATTTAATCTTGTTAACTCACATTTGGTTATCTGCAAAAACACATCTTTCACGTAATAAGTGTTTGGGTTATTAAGTTTATAAGATTTATTAGTGTCCAAAATACCTTTTAGTAATAATTAACTGGTCTAGATTTATTATTTTGTTTTTGTTATTATTACTATTATTGTCATTAATATCCTGATGTCACAAGTTACCCATAATATGATGTCAGGTAAAGTGTTTAATCTTTACATGATTAAATTTTTAGTCTTTAAAGTAGTAAAAATAACATTTCCATCAAAGTAATTGCACTAGTAGAAGTAGTGCACTACTAGAAGTAGAAGATTAAATGCACTAGTATATTTAAAGCATCTGAAGGAAAGCCAGGCCAACAGTATGTGCTCAGTAAAAATACAATTTTTCTTTTCCTCCTCAATTTCTTGCTTATCCTTTTCCCCTACGTCCTTCCCTCTTGTCTTCTCTTGATAAGGAAGTTTAAGAGGCAACTAATTACTAGGCAAACAGCATCACCGTATGAGATGTTGGTTTTTTTTTTTTGAAGGAAGCTACTTTATTTTTCTTTTTCCCATTTATTTTTATTAGTTGGAGGCTAATTACTTTACATCATTGCAGTGGTTTTTGTCATACATTGACATGAATCAGCCATGGATTTACATGTATTCCCCATCCCAATCCCCCCCGCCACCTCCCTCCACCCAATCCCTCTGGGTCTTCCCAGTGCACCAGGCCCGAGCACTTGTCTCATGCATCCAACCTGGGCTGGTGATCTGTTTCACCATAGATAATATACATGTTTCGATGCTGTTCTCTCGAAACATCCCACCCTCACCTTCTCCCACAAGTCCAAAAGTCCGTTCTGTACATTTGTGTCTTTTTTTCTCTTTCGCATATAGGGTTATCGTTAACATCTTTCTAAATTCCATATATGTGTGTTATTATACTGCAATGGTCTTTATCCTTCTGGCTTACTTCACTCTGTATAATGGGCTCCAGTTTCATCCATCTCATTAGAACTGATTCAAATGAATTCTTTTTAATGGCTGAGTAATATTCCATGGTGTATATGTACCACAGCTTCCTCATCCATTCGTCTGCTGATGGGCATCTAGGTTGCTTCCATGTCCTGGCTATTATAAACAGTGCTGCGATGAACATTGGGGGTGCACGTGTCTCTTTCAGATCTGGTTTCCTCGGTGTGTATGCCCAGGAGTGGTATTGCTGGGTCATATGGCAGTTCTAGTTCCAGTTTTTTAAGGAATCTCCACACTGTTCTCCATAGCCGCTGTACTAGTTTGCCTTCCCACCAACAGTGTAAGAGGGTTCCCTTTTCTCCATACCCTCTCCAGCATTTATTGCTTGGAGACTTTTGGATAGCAGCCATCCTGACTGGCGTGTAGAGATCTTGTTTTTAAGTTCCATTTGCTAGAAATTTTCACAATATTCAGAGAAAACTCATATATAAAAAGTAATAAATCTTATAGAGGCTATGATTTATAGAAGTTAGGTAGACACGTTCTTTCTATAGGGAAGAAGCATGGTTGCTACTGCCACACCTCAATTTCTTTTTCCTTCCTAGTTCGGGCAGGGCCAACAGATGTGTATAGAATAGAAACTCATGCCTTTACATAAGGTTATTTCATTTTATAGGGAAATGTCAGGTCTTAAATGTGAATGACGATTTATGCATTTTACCAATGTGGCCGAGTGCCAGTCAAGCATTTTGTCAGGCAGGGATGGATAAGAAGTATTTTAATCAGATAAGAGAAAAATAGATCAATGGAACATGACAATTCTGTGTGAAACGAATTGAGATGAGTGTAGAAACTGAGTCCTGATCAAGCAGAGCGGATTATGTAGTCAAGTTCAGTTACCGTTAGCGGTATCAGGTAGAGTGGGACCCTTCCTAAAATTTTCCATCCGGAAGCTACCATGCTTTAAATTAAATTATATGCAAAGCTGATGCTTTCCAAAGTTTATTCCTTAGGGCCTGTTTTATGACTCCCATGCAGTAGGTTTCAATCACTATTTACTGATTTGCTGCATTCTCTTACTAGAGTATATCATATTCATCTTTGCATTTTCAGTCCCTGGAATTACTGGGTAACACTTCCTCTAACTCCATGGCAAGGGGACCCTGAGTCTAAAGAAACTCATGTTTAGATGGCTCTAATTCAAAATCTTCACAGATTCAAGTATCAGTTACTAGACCTATTTCTTTTAAAACGCAAGTCTGTGTACTTTAAAGTAGGGAGGGTGTATGGGTTTTCATTAAGTGTAGCAAGAGCTTAGCATACTTTATTTGCCACAATGGGATAAAGAGTCTTCTGTCCAAATTGATAGTTGAAAAGTAAGACTGCCTTTCTTTTATCAAGCTTGCTCTCAGTTTCATCCAGAGAACAGAAATTTGAAGTGAGCATGTGGTCCTCAAGTATTTCTGTTGCACTTTGCTGCTCTGTGAAAAAGACTTTTCTTTGACTAAAGCCCAGGGGAATGTGACATACAGACTGTAAACTCTGTCTTCTGGCCTTCATAGCTATGCTCCCATCACTTATAACCCCTTTGCCCAGGGATACCTGAGCAAAAATCTCCAAAATGCATATTTAAAAGCTTCTTAGATAACAATTATTTTAAAATGTTTTAAAACCAATAGATAGAATTCTGAAAATTGAGTACTTAAAGAATGCTTTTGAATTTATAATAAATACCCATTGCATAGCTGTTCTTTTTTATTGTCTTCAGTTCAGTTCAGTTCAGTCGCTCAGTCGTGTTTGACTCTTTGCAACCCCATGAATCATAGCACGCCAGGCCTCCCTGTCCATCACCAACCCCTGGAGTTTACTCAAACTCATACCCATCGAGTCAGTGATGTCATCCAACCATCTCATCCTCTGTCGTCCCCTTCTTCTCCTGCCCCCGATCCCTCCCAGCATCAGGGTCTTTTCCAATGAGTCAGCTCTTCACATGAGGTGGCCAAAGTATTGGAGTTTCAGCTTCAGTATCAGTTCTTCCAATGAGCACCCAGGACTGATCTCCTTTAGGATGGACTGGTTGGATCTCCTTGCAGTCCAAGGGACTCTCAAGAGTCTTCTCCAACACCACAGTTCAAAAGCATCAATATTCCGGCACTCAGCTTTCTTCACCATCCACCTCTCACATCCATACATGACCACTGGAAAAACCATAGCCTTGACCAGATGGACCTTTATTGGCAAAGACATGTCTCTGCTTTTTAATATGCTGTCTAGGCTGGTCATAACTTTCCTTCCAAGGAGTAAGCGTCTTTTAATTTCATGGCTGCAATCACCATCTGCAGTGATTTTGGAGCCCAAAAAAATAAAGTCTGACACTGTTTCCACTGTCTCCCCATCTATTTCCCATGAAGTAATGGAATCAGATGCCATGATCTTAGTTTTCTGAATGTTGAGCTTTAAACCAACTTTTTCACTCTCCTCTTTCACTTTCATCAAGAGGCTTTTTAGTTCCTCTTCACTTTCTGCCATAAGGGTAGTGTTACCTGCATATCTGAGGTTATTGATATTTCTCCTGCAATCTTGATTCCAGCTTGTGCTTAATAAAGCCCAGCGATTCTCATGATGTACTCTGCATATAAGTTAAATAAGCACGGTGACAATATACAGCCTTGACATACTCCTTTTCCTATTTGGAACCAGTCTGTTGTTCCATGTCCAGTTCTAACTGTTGCTTCCTGACCTGCATACAGGTTTCTTAAGAGTCAGATCAGGTGGTCTGGTATTCCCATCTCTTTCAGAATTTTCCACAGTTTATTGTGATCCACACAGTCGAAGGCTTTGGCATAGTCAATAAAGCAGAAATAGATGTTTTTCTGGAACTCTCTTGCTTTTTCGATGATCCGCGGATGTTGGCAATTTGATCTCTGGTTCCTTTGCCTTTTCTAAAACCAGCTTGAACATCTGGAACTTCAGAGTTCATGTATTGCTGAAGCCTGGCTTGGAGAATTTTGAGCATTACTTTACTAGCGTGTGAGATGAGTACAATTGTGCGGTACTTTGAGCATTCTTTGGCATTGCCTTTCTTTGGGATTGAAATGAAAGCTGACCTTTACCAGTCCTGTGGCCACTGCTGAGTTTTCCAAATTTGCTGGCATATTGAGTGCAGCACTTTCACAGCATCATCTTTCAGGATTTGAAATAGCTCAACTGGAATTCGATCACAACCACTGGCTTTGTTCATAGTGATGCTTTCTGAGGCCCACCTGACTTACTGAGTTATAATTAGCATACAACAGAGCATTAGTTTTAGGTGTATAAAATGATGATTTGATATTTTTATATATTGCAAAATACTGCAATAAGCTTACTGTATACAAATCACCTCATGTAGTTATAATTTATTTCTTGTGTTAAGAACTTTTTTTTTTCCACTTAAAATAAGTTTATTTAAGTACAAAGAGTCAACACAAAGAAAAATAGCAGTAGCCATACTGGGCCACAACTAAGCCTCTTCAGTATTCTGGCCTGGAGAATTCCATGGACAGAGGAGCCCGGCGGGCTATAGTCCGTGGGGTCACAGAGTCGGACATGACTGAGGGACTTGCAAGCCTCTCTGGGAGCCTGGGGTAACCCCCACAGGCCAGTCCTCCAGACCCCTGGGCCTCAGTCGCTGTCATGCCTGCGCTTCTTGCAGCAAGTTGAGGTCAGAGTCACGCTGGACGGGGGCAGGGGGCAGTGAGGAGTCCAGCCTTCTCCCACGCTCCTTTTCTTTCTTCGTCTTCTCTTTCTTGTGCCTCTTCTTTTTCTTCTCTTTCCTGATCTTCCTGTGGCTTTCAGGACGTGAATACCGAAAGCCCCAGCTTAGCGGCCTCTTTGTCTTCCCGAGACAGCGCCACTCGCCCTACAGAGCCACTGGAGCTCCCCAGACCCAGAAGCCGGTCCACTTCCTTCTCGGGGTCACCACCTTCCCGCTTACAAACTTCGACAAAGTCCTCCTTGCTCAGGCCGGTGGGCTGCTTCTTTACGTTCTTGTAGCCTAGCGCTGCCATGAGCCCTCCTGTTCCGCCTGCCTCACAGCCGCCAATTCCTGCTCCCGGCTCAGTCCAGCGCTGTTCGCCCGGCCCTTGGCGTACCAAGTGAGGTCACGGCCCTTCTGCCAGCGGCCCACTGGGGCCCTCAGCGAGTTGCCCAGGTAGTTCTCCCTCTGCTTGTCTGTCTTCACATCCTCCCAGCTGAACTGGTCCTGCCCGCCGCGCACGCCGCCCCGGCTGGAGCCGAACATTGTGGTGACGTGCTGGACCTCTCCCCGGGATTCCCCATGTTAAGAACTTTTAAGATCTACCCAAAACAACTTTCCAATGTTCAATACTCATAACTATAACCATAGCCCCTATGCTGTACATTATATACCCAGAACTTACTTGTCTTACAACAGGGCATAACTTTTCATGGTTTTTCAGTGTTGTATCCACTTCTTCCTTCCAAGTGGTACATTTAATTGGCCTTTGCAGTCACAACAACTCAATAATATTTTGAGTGGACATCAGACACTATTCTCTCTGTAGAAGTCTTCAAGATGATTTTAATTCCTTTCCTAGGTGTTGATAAAAGAATGGCTTTCTGCCATGCTGATCCATGCTGATAGGCATGAACATGTCATCAAGTGCTGTAAGATATAAGAGCAATATGGAGAGAAACTATCCATCTTTTTGTTCTAAATTTTATTTAGAACCATGTTGTTGCTGTTCAGTCGCTAAGTTGTGTCCGACTCTTTGCAACCTCATTAGAACCATGGGATTGTAGAATTGTCAGGGTCCTAGAGATCACTTTGTCTCAGCTCCCCATACAATGCACAAGGAGATGCATTCAGAGAGTTGGCACGTCTTCGCCAACTCAGTAGTAGAAGTGAGAAGACAGCCCAGCTGTTCTGTTGCTCCAGGCAATGCATTGACCGCTGTTCATGCCTTCTACTTCTGTAGGTCTTCCTCCCCTTGGCTTTTCTCTTTCCCTATTTATCCTATTGTATGGCCTGTGAGCTGAGAATGGTTTTTATGTTTTTAAAGATTTCTTAGAAAAATAAGAAACAAAAAATATGCACTAGAGGTGAAATAGCTCACAAAGCCTAAAATATCTACTATCTGACCATTTATGTAAATGTTTGCAAGCTCTTGGCCCAAGCAACTAGAAATACATTCCCTTAGAATTTTAATGTCTCCTTTAGCTGCTCAGAGTTCTAAGTGGCCAGATCATAAGATTCTGTACCTTTTTATGTTTTATTTTCCTCATTATCTTTCTGGTTTTTTATAGGATTCATTAATAAAATAGAATACCTTATAAGCTTTCCTTTATCCATAATCTCTTTCACTTAACATCCCCTAGAAATGAGTAAGGTGAGCTTCCTTGGTGGCTCAGCAAGAAAGAATCCACCTGCCATACAGGAGACATGGGAGACGGGTTCAGTCCCTGGGTTGGGAAGGTCCCCTGGAGAAAGAAGTGACAATCCAATCCAGTATTCTTGCCCAGAAGCTTCCATGGACAGAGGAGCCTGGCGGGCTACAGATCATGGGGTCACAATAGAGTCTGACGTGACTGCACAACTGAGCCCAGCACAGCACAGAAATTGGTAAGGTAATTACTGCTGTGTCCTTTAAATGGACATGAAGATCAAGGCTCAATGTCCAGTATCATATGTATGATACAGAAAGGGCACAGTTGGGCTAGAGCCCAGAATGTTCGATTTTTTTGTCCAGTGGTCTTGCAAAGTCGGTTAAATCATCCCCACTTCGGAAGCAGAATGATATATATATATTGCTGATGTTTTGTATGGATCTGGAGTGTCATATCCTTTTTGGTGAAAAAATAGTGGAAAAGGTACAAATTACCTCCATTTAAGTTAAGTAAGATGTCTGAATTCCTTCAGAGCCTGTTTTCCTCACACGCATAGCTCTGTGCCGTCAGCAAAGCAGCACTTAGCTTGCTTCTTCAGAGCAAATAAGATGCTGCGTGCGGCCTTCCCGGCACAGCACCAGCCTTTGTTCAATGCCTTCTCTGACATATTTTGATTTTTTGTTTTGTTTTTAACCCATAGGTTTGATAATGACTGTAAGTAAACCCTGTTATTTTGGAAACCTCCTCCTGGGAATTGTAGGTGTGGATGTGAACCTGGCTTACATCCTTGAAGACGTGACGTATTACCAAGACTCCTTGGCGTCCTATACTTTCCTCATAGATGACAAAGGTAATCTACTAAAACTTAGATAGGAAAGAACAGTTTCCTTAACATCCTGAAGAAAAGTCATCTGTAGATATTCTGATACTAACAAAGTAGGAAAATGATGGGATTTGTAGAAAAAGGGGGACTAGGACTACTTATTTGTTGTAGAACACCGTAACGATGGCAGAATGAATCTAAAGATTGTGCATTTGTTTCTACCTTGTGTTGAAGGGTAGGTAAGAGTTACTTGTAACCATCAGGAAATTAGACTTGAGGATTGAATGAAACATACAAGTGATCCTTTGGATCTTTTTTTGGTCTATATAGTTTTCTTAATATTTACTGACATTAAGGTTTATGTGATAGATTTTATAAAATGAAAACCAAATGGTCAGTACCTCCCAAATATTCTTGATTAGGGAGATGTTCAATAAGACATCTTGCTACACTTCCAAAGTTTTATGCAAGAAAACATAAGACAAGCTCAGGTTTTATTGGACTGCTGAGTTACAGACTGAGAAGCTGAGTGTTGAGCAGCCCTCCCAGAATATCCCACATTTCAAACCTGTGATGAGCACTTTTATTAGAATCAGTTCCTCCTACAACGTGTTTCCCATAGTGTGTGTGTGTCTTTTTTTCTTATTTCAGGGTATACCCTTATGCATCCATCTCTTACCAGGCCATATTTACTCTCAGAACCCCCACTTCACACCGACATTATTCATTATGAAAATATCCCCAAATTTGAGTTGGTTCGGCAGAATATCTTAAGGTAAGGAAAAGGTGAGGGTCATAATACCTTGTTTTTTTCTCAGAGAATAGGATCCATTGAGGTCAAATATGAATGTTTATAATAGGAAATAAAGCAAGTATATAAATTATTTTAATGTTATCAAGAGTATGGTTTTTTTTTTTAAGAGTATGGTTTTTGATATAAGAATAGTAGCCAAAATTTTGTTTACTTTGTAAAGTAGGTAAGATCTCTTAGAACTATTATTTGGGGGAAATGTCTTATAAATCAAATTCTTATGTTCACATTGCCTTTAGTTGTAAAATCAGATATATCTCATCTCATTTTTAAAGATACTCCAGTTTACCAAGTTGGAAATTGTTGGCAGAATAAGAGGTTAAGTTGAGGACCAGCTCTAGAGCGTGCCAAAAAATAGCTTGGCAAAGCACTGTCCATTCCAAGTTGACAGCACAATCATATACAACATTTTCTCTTGAAATAAGGAACAGATTGGATTTTTTCCAACCGTGATACATTATTTTGGCAGATGGTAACCTATAGAGAAATGAGTCTTTGTGCTCATTGGTTGTAAATTAATCACTGAGTGATTTGAGACAAGTTAGTCTCTGGAAAGAATTAGAATCAGGGGGGGCAGGAGTAGAGAGGAAGGAATGTTTTCAGTGCAGAGCTGACATAATGCTTTTACAAAATTGAAAATCTCACATTATCTCTTTCAAAAGTGATGAGCTTCATTGCTTTTCAAAATCAAGAGGTGGTCAATGACTCACAGCATCTTCCCTGCCTTTAATTAAGTGCTTCATTTTATGTTTTGCCTGAAGTATTTCATTCTGTTTGCCAATGCAGCCTCCCTCTGGGCAGCCAGATTATCGCAGTCCCTGTGAACTCATCTCTGTCCTGGCACATAAATAAGCTGAGAGAAACTGGAAAGGAGGCCTACAATGTTAGCTATGCCTGGAAGATGGTGAGTGCAAGGAAGCCTCCTTTGCCTCAAGGAGGTTCAGGATGCAACATTCCTCCTCATGCAGAAATTCTAGGGAACTTCAGTTTGGTAATGTTATTAATCTGTTTTAAAGTGATTGGAAAAAGAAGAGATTCCATAGAAATGGAATTTTTTTCCTTTTTTGTTTATAAAACCAGTAATTACTCATGATGAATAAATCAAACCATATTAAAAAAAATAGATAGTGCACTCTGCCCTTTCCCCTCCCGAGTTTGACCTCCCATTTCCCAGAAGTAACCACTTTGATCAATTTCAGGAAACTTACTATTCACACACAGGCATGTATCTCTGTGTGTGAAAACACATTCAATGGCTCTGTCCTTCACTACATAGATCGACCAACTTTCTTCTGAGTCGCACGAATACACATTTCGATTATATCCAATTGGAGCAAGGAGATCAAGCCAGTCCATCCTAAAGGAAATCAACCCTGAATACTCATTGGAAGGAATAATGCTGAAGCTCCAATACTTTGGCCACCTGATGCAAAGAGCCAACTCATTGGAAAAGACCCTGATGCTGGGAAAGATTGAAGGCAAAAGGAGAAGAGAGCAGCAGAGGATGAGATGGCTAGATAGCATCACTGACTCAATGGACATGAGTTTGAACAAACTCTGGGAGATTGTGAGGGACAGGGAAACCCGGTGTGCTACAGTGTATGGGGTTGCAAAGAGTCGGACACGACTGAGCAACTGAACAACAACAACAGTTTGTTTTTATCATTTTCAACGTAGATTGTGGAAGCTGGGCATTGAAAAGGAGCTACACAAGCATAAATGTCCTCCACTGATGCCAAGGAAAAGAAAGATTTAGATTAGAATGTGTACTACTCCCATGTGCCACAAGCAGATTGCTAGCCATACCTGTGATACCCACTGCAGGTTTCTTTCACTAGCCTCATTCAGACTCTTCAGGGGACTTCCCTTGTGGTATAGTGGTTAAAAATCCACCTTGCAATGCAGGGAACATGGATTCAATTCGTGGTTGGGAAACTAAGTTCCCACATGCCTCAGGGCTGCTAAATCCCATATGCCACAACTAGAGAAAAGCCCACTTGCCACAAGGAAGATCCTGCATGCTGCAGGCTTAATTTTTCACATCAGAAAGAGTGAGCCAGATACCAGAATTCTGAATTGAAAAATACTTTTATATTTAAAATTGGAGATTGCTTATCTTACAGTATATCCTATTTGAAATAAATATTTTTTTAAAAAGAGCATTGAGCCTCAAAGAATCATAGAGAAATAGAAGCTGACACACACCAACCATCTTACTTAATGTTTTTGCCCTTTACTCCCTCTCCCAAGCATAGCATAACAGTGCTATTATAGGGCCCTAAAGACTCTCATGCAAAGAGCTGACTCATTGGAGAAGGCCCTGATGCTGGGAGGGATTGGGGGCAGGAGGAGAAGGGGACTACAGAGGATGAGATGGTTGGATGGCATCACCAACTCAATGGACATGGGTTTGAGTAAACTCTGGGAGTTGGTGATGGACAGGGAGGCCTGGCATGCTGCAATTCATGGGGTCACAAAGAGTCAGACACGACTGAGCAGCTGAACTGAACTGAAATACTCTCATTGACCAAAAGAAGAATAGACTTTGATTTTTTTTTTTTTTTTTTTTTGGTCAGTAATAATCATTAAACTTAAAATACAGTCATACTGGAGATTCCCTTGGAAGGCTATTTCTGATGTTTTTAATATGTGTTGTTGATCCTAAATTGATCTGTTTATTCATCCCTTTAAGTATTGCTATTGAAAATTGACTGTGAACTAATAAGGACAAAGACGAATGATACTCCCTGCCCTCACAGAGCTTCCAGCTTAGCAGTGGATGCACAGTTCAACTCTATGCAGTATCTACATAGGAATGATAGGAATCAGGAGAAGCCAACATGCCTCTAGACATGACTCTCTTATGATCTTCTTATTTGCTTTTTAAAGAATCACATGGCAACAGCAATTTCTAAAATGGAAATGAAACTAAACAAAATAATAAGACCATTTGAGAAGCTTATGTTTATCAGCCTAATTCTACTGATATTTTGATGATGATACAGATCTGAAAAAAGTCAATGTCTGTTTCAAAACTCTGAGACAGCTCATTTTCAGGAATTTTTTTCTTTTTAGAATGATTATACCATCTGCCCTTTATAAACATACAATTTTTAAATAAGGACTAATTGCTTAATTTTTCACATCAGAAACCGTGAGACAGACACCCGAATTCTGAATTGAAAAATACTTTTGTATTTAAAATTGAAAATTGCTTATCTTACACTATATCCTAATGGAAAGCAACTCAGGTACATCCTGGTAAAAAAAAATCTGCATTAATATTTGTAGGCTTTAAATGAGGTAGAAGGAAATAGAGGCATTTTAAGATCTTCTTTGTATAGTAAATAAACCTAGTATTAACATTTTGGGAAGTATAATCTTTATAAAGACTGTCTTTCTTCCGTGATATTGGCACATTTTGGCCACTCTACTTAGCCAAATGAATATAATCATGTAATCACTTCAAGTAGAAGTGTTCGCTTTCTCAGAGTTCTGAAATTGTCAGTTCAGTTCAGCCGCTCAGTTGTGTCCAACTCTTTATAACCCCTTGGACTGCAGCACCCCAGGCTTCCCTGTCTATCACCAACTCCCGGAGCTTGCTCAAACTCATGTCTATTGATTCAGTGATGCCATCCAACTATGTCATCCTCTGTCGTCTGCTTCTCCTCCTGCCTTCAATCTTTCCCAGCATCAGGGTCTTTTCCATTGAGTCAGTTCTTCACATCAAATAGCCAAAGTATCAGAGCTTCAGCTTCAGCATCAGTCCTTCCAATGAATATTCAGTGTTGATTTCCTTTAGAATTGACTGGTTTGATCTCCTTGCTGTCTAAGGGATTCTGAAGAGTCTTCTCCAGCATCAGTTGTCAAGAACATCACTGTTAAGTGAACATTATTTAAAGTGGTAATAAATAATGAGATTGAAGTTAAAAGGCTTACCTGATTACCAGAAACAAGAAATTTTTAAGCTTTCTTTAGCTACATCAGCAGGAGTGGGGGAGTAAGTACTCTTGTCCTCCGGAATGAAATGGATTTTTCAACTAAATATAATTTAAATAGATTTAGTTGATGTTGATAATAATTGGTTAAACTGCTTAGCATCCATAGATATGGCAGATATTGATGGATTATTTCACTGAGTTAATTTAAATGTAACATGAGAGATTATGTTAGCAGCATTAAGAGATTACTACTTTGTCACTATGCAATGTAAGTCTGTCTTTGAGTATTGAGGAGGCTACATGCTGTGACAGAAGGAAATACTGACTAATATCAGAAGGTATTGCAACATTCCAGTGTTGTACAGGCATGGTTCACTTCAAAACATGAATCCCATGGATAATCAGTGGAAAACACCACTCCCCACTCCTGGAGGCCTCTTCTAGATATGTTATACATAGTTCCTTAATGCAAGCAACTACTTCTTCAGCTAAGAACACAATAGCAAGGAGACCTATTTTGAAATCTGTTCTTCTTTCCAGCTAGAAATTATAAAGTGTTACTTTTAGATGCTTAGGATAATTCTTTTTTTTTTTTTCTTTTCTCATATAGTTGACCCTTGAAGAGAAATGTAGAATTTTTATCTTACAGAATTGACTTTCTTTCTCTTACAGAATTCTTATAAGAGAATAACAATTCTCTTATACAACTTCCTGCAGCACAGGAAGCAAACTCAAAAGATGCTGAAACAGGAAGAGGGCAAATAGTAAACGTCACTTCAGAATACTCTGTCACTTTCTAACTTGTTGGGTTGAGGAAGAGGATTAAATTTGCTAATGTAATTGAATATCCTTGGCAGCAGTACTTGAAAGCAATTCCAGGAAGATGCAAATTCCCCTGTGTTTAAAAAGATTCTGCAGCCATCCTCAGAAACCACATATTACTCTTAACTCTAATCTGCCTAGTTAAATAATTTCTCCCTGATTGTTAAATTATCTTTTGAGTTGCTTTGATTCTGACCATCTTTTAGTTCTGACTTAGCCGGTTATCATTCTTTTCATTTATTTACAAACCACCTTTAAAATATATTCTGTTTAGCTCTTAGTATAATGAACTTAGAGAAGATTGACTTATTTTTCAGTCAAGGAGCTAAAACTACATAGCTTGACTTGGCTTTTGATTCATATAAACATTTTTCCCACCAAATTTTATTCAAGCATCCATTTCTAGGAGCAAAATGAATCTGAAAGTACTCCTGTCTCTATGTAGGAGCTTAAATTAGGCCAAGTTACAACACACTTGCCTTTCCTGGTCTGAAAGGACAAGTCAGGCGAGCTTTGCTCGTAAGCGATAGGGTTTGCACTTTTCATGAGTCTGAGATCCTAGTCACCTCTAACTGAGAGAGAAGAAAGTGTTCATTGGGAATAGAATGAGTAAACCAGATTCTGTACAGGCTGTGTTATATGGATTCATAATTGGCATTTAAAATAGTCAATTCTCGGAACACTCATTGCAAAACCAACTGTATATTTTACAACGCATTTCCAACCCAAACAGAAATAAGTGTTGTATTCTTATGCCATGTTCCAGCTTGTATCCATTAGCTTAAATAAGCAAAAGAGGACTAGGGTTACTGTTTTAGAGAGACTGTTTTCTAATCCCTTCATCAACTCCATGATTTTCTGTTACATGAATTAAGTTCCCTTGATCTGAAAGAAAAATAAAAAATAGAAAGTGTAATTTTTTTGCCAGAACCATTTTCTGTTACCCCATCTTCCTGTCTTTCCTTCACTCATCACGTATTTTTCGTGTGGGTTAGAAGCAGGGATAGCAGGAAGTAATGTTGACCAACTTACTATCTCCAGGAACCTTCATTTCTGTATTAACATTTCTTTGTCAATTTTCCAGGTCCAAGATACTTCCTTCATTCTCTGTATTGTGGTGATACAACCAGAAATACCTGTCAAACAACTGAAGAACCTCAATACTGTTCCCAGCAGCAAGCTGCTGTACCACCGGTTGGACCTCCTGGGCCAGCCTAGTGCTTGCCTCCACTTCAAACAGCTGGCCACCCTGGGTAAAAACCCTGTGCTTTTCCGGTTCCTTTGTGGTCCTCATAGCAGCTCACCATGAGCATCAGTTTGAATTCAGATGCCGAACACCTTCCCAGGTGGCTCCATGGTAAAAGAATCCATCTGCCAATTCAGGAGATGGAGTTTCGATCCCTGGGTCAGAAGGATCCCCTGGAGGAGGCATTGGCAACCCACTCCAGTATTTTTCCTGGAAAGATTCCATGGACAGAGGATCCTGGTGTACTACAGTCCATGGGATCTCCAAGAGTTAGACGTGACTGAGCATACTGAATACCTTCAGTGCCAGTGTGGGGAGAGAAATGGAAAAACCACTTGAGGCCTTGCCTTGTTTCTGGTTCTCCATCAGTCACTGAGATGAGGATTTGTGGCCTGGTGGCTTATTCAGGATGAACTCTCAGAAGAAACAAGTGAGGAAGTGAAGTTAACAGGAGAAGGAAGAAAGAAGAAAGCAAGCCAGAATTTAACCCTAGTCCTCAGGGAGCCTTTGGAGTGTAAATTACATTGCAGAGCTTGCCCAGACTCAGGAAAGGGAGCTTGACTTTCATATTCCTTAGTCACTTTCAGGTTTCTGCTAATGCAGGACAAAGAGGTTTTAGCAGCCCAAAGAATGTCCATCAAACAGAGTGGTAGGTATGGCCCACTAGAGACAGGCGCACAGATAATGAAGATGCAGGGGTACAGCATAGGTGGAAAAACGGTAAAAAGTCCAAGGGTAGCACTCCCACATATCTACATAGTGTATCAGTACCTATCACAGATCCCTGTCTTCAAAAGCGCTTAGGAAATAGGCAAATAATTCAAAGAAACTAAAAGGGAATTTGCATTTGTTCTGTGCCCAGTATTTTACAGCCATCATCTGAGTTGGCCTATTACAGATGAGGACTTTGGGGCTTATCAAAATATTGGGTTGGCCAAAAAGTTCATCTGGATATTTCCCTATCATCCTGTGGGAAAAGCTGAACAAACTTTTTGGCCCACCCAGTCATAACTTTCCCATGGTAACACAGAAAGAAGCGAGGCTCAGATGTGGTTCATGCTTCTCCCATGCCTGATATGCCCCTTTTATTGCATGCTGCCGTGTGCCAGATGCATACTAGGCATCTGTGGTGTATGTTATATGTCACAGTATACTCACAATACTATCAAACAAGTATTTTCTTTTTCACCTTTGAAAATACTTAGAAGTCACCATCCATTCTCCAGTTTCGAAATGAAAGCACTTGTGTTCAGGTTTTTTTCCTACATTCCATCCTACAGAGTTTCTGCCTTGATATGAGATCAGTAGAGCAGGCCAACCTAAGTAGTTTTATCTATGACACACTCCATCAGTGTGGAAAACTTAGATGGCCAGAGATGTCAACTTGGATTTTACATTTCCTTGTTTGTTGTAATTTAGGTTTGAGGGGATGGGGTTTGCCCTCTGTTTCTATACAAAAGAGTGAGTGAGTGATTGAGTGAAAGTCACTCAGTCGTATCCAACTCTTTGTGACCCCATGGACTATACAGTCCATGGAATTCTCCAGGCCAGAATACTGGAGTGGGTAGCCTTTCCCTTCTCCAGGGAATCTTCCCAACTCAGGGATCAAACCCAGGTTTTCCCGCCTTGCAGGCAGATTCTTTACCAGCTAAGCTACCAGGGAAGCCCCATACAAAAGAGTATGTCCTTTAATTCAGGTTTTTAAGAACTACTTAAAGAAAAGCTAAGATATGCATAATTCCCTTAGTCACTATGGGAAACACTGCTACACTACTGCTGGTGAAAATGAGGTAATTAAAACAAACTATTTTAATTTATTATTTATTTAATTAATCTTTTAAAAAAATTTTATTAAAGTATGGTTGATTTCCAAGACCAGTCTTTTTAAATTTAGTACAGCAAAGTGCAGCAGTTTTTCTTAATGGAAAAAAAAAAGCTAAAGCCTAGATTTTTTATTTCCTTCAGATAATCCCTCATAGCTATACCATCCAGTATGGTAGCTAGTAACCACATGTGACTATTGAGCACTTAAAATGTGGCTAAACCAAGTTGAGATTTATTGTAAGTATAAAATACATACTTAATTTTTTGTATTGATTACATGTTAAAGTGATAATATTTGGATATATTGGAGTCTATAAAATACACTAGTAAAATTAACCTGTTTGGTTTTCCTTTTCTTCATGTGGCTACTGGAAATTTTTATATCACAATGGGGGATTACGTTGTATTTCAGTTAGATGGTCCTGCTCAGTTGGACATTTTCACTCCCAGAAAATGTAGAGTTTTATCAATGCCCTACATTACATTAGCCCTACATTACTTAGGACTAGTGAGCTGGTCTGGGGGCACACGGACAAACCTTATGCCAGTGTCCAACTTCCACTGGATACTCTTTCCACTGTACAACCCAACTTCATTTTGTCCGTAGAACTCCCCCAGGGCAATATGTGAAGAGATCACTGAGGATAGTTTAGTATCAGTTGGTAATGAAAGTGAAGCAGGATAATGCAAATTTTTTTTAAAAGAAATGGAAAATAAGGGAAACAATGGCAAATAAGTGGTTTTTACCTAATTCCATTGATGATGGGGATTTAGAGGCAAGGTATTAATTTAGATCGGCGCTCCCTTCCAGAGGTCTGAAGGATGGGTCAGTGTCTTTCTTGGTAGACAAAGAGGGACAGAGGAATTTTAAAAGGGTACATCATCCTGTGCAGTTGTGTACACAGGTATGTAAGTACCATGTGCCTTATGTATGTAAGAGCTATGTGTCTAGCTCCTAGACATAAGACTCTGGGCCCTGTTTCTTGGTTTTTCCTCTCCTTCTATCCACATCACTACAAGGAAAGTCCCCTCCCCAAGTTGTCTCTCCTCCCCTTCTGGTCCAACTCTTACCCCTGAGATGTCTTTTATATCATTGTGTTGTTCTAATATTGTTGTTTTCCTTTTTTTTTTTTTTTTTCATTATTCTTATCTCTGCAATTGGGTCCTAAGTTCTTTGAGTTTCGAGACAGTTGTCTCTCTCTGGCACACCTTGCACTGAAGGCCCCCGAGCATATACACATGAACTCATTGCTAGGCAACCTACCCTTTTTTCAGCCACTGGCTTTCTTTTCCTTGATATGGATCTAGTAATTACTCCCAAGCTATAGCTTGATGATATGAGAGACATAGAATACTGGAAGCATTGTGTTGTGGTAAAGGAAGACTAAGTAGTTTTGACCCATCCTGCTCAGTTCAACCAAAAATCCTGGATGGAACCTTTTTTAAATTTTTTGAAAATTGTCAGAGAACTAACCTAATTGATAATGGACCAAAGTCCAGGAGCTTGTAAGAACCCAAAGAAGAAAGCTGTCATCTAAAACTGGTCATATTTATCAACCCAGAAGAGGGACTTCCCTGGCAGTCCAGTGCTTAAGGCTATCCGCTTCCAATGCAGGGGGCTCCTGTTCAATCCCTGATCGAGGAACTAAGGTCTTAAATGCTGCGTGGTGCAGCCAAAATGCAATAATAATAATAATCAATCCAGAAAATTGTGCTTTAGGTAGCTTCTTTGGGCTAGGGAGAGGGACAAAAATCAAATCCAAGGTCCTCAAAAGGTGGAGACTTACAAGGGGGACTGCTCCCTTCTGCCCTCCACCTCCCCCCACACACATACATACCTGCTTTTAGCAGAGGTCACAGAGGACTATATATTTAGGGTAAGAATGAATTGGAACTAAGTCAGCCCTTGTCGTGAGATTCTTGTCTTCTGAGTTGTCTAAGGAATCTCAAATATTAGCTCATCATGGACTAGTTGAATGCCGTAGTCTCCCAGTGTAGCACTTGGGTGGTTATCCTGTCTCGTTGTTAGAAGACTTTCCACCTCCCCATCCTGCCTCATTTTGGGATGTGGCATAGCAATCCTTTGTGGAAGATAATATTCCCATCCTGTTGAGACTCAGCACTTACTACAAAATTGTTTGTAAGCCCAGCATCCAGTGACAGAAAACCAGGCCACAAGGAAATGAGACACCATGAGTGAGAACTAACAAAGGAATAGAAAAGGACCCACAGATTTAAATGAGATAAGACATGTGATACTGCTTTCTAATACTTTTAAAAATATACAATTGAAGAGTAAAATTTCAAAGACAAAGATGTAGTGTTTTTATTTCATAATGTAATTCATTGTGAGGATTTCTGTCATAACAGTACTGGGTTTTTCCTGTTAAGACCAATATGAGAAATGCTGGGCTGGAAGAAGCACAAGCTGGAATCAAGATTGCCGGGAGAAATATCAGTAACCTCAGATATGCAGATGACACCACCCTTATGGCAGAAAAGTGAAAAGGAACTAGAAAGTCTCCTGATGAAAGTGAAAGAGGAGAGTGAAAAAGTTGGTTTAAAGCTCAACATTCAGAAAACTAAGATCATGGCATCTGATTCCATCACCTCATGGGAAATAGATGGGGAAACAGTGGAAACAGTGTCAGACTTTATTTTGGGGGGCTCCAAAATCACTGCAGATGGTGATTGCAGCCATGAAATTAAAAGACGCTTACTCCTTGGAAGGAAAGTTATGACCAACCTAGACAGCATATTAAAAAGCAGAGACATTACTTTGCCAACAAAGGTCCGTCTAGTCAAGGCTATGGTTTTTCCAGTGGTCATGGATGGATGTGAGAGTTGGACTGTGAGGAAAGCTGAGTGCCAAAAAATTGATGCTTTTGAACTGTGGTGTTAAAGAAGACTCTTGAGAGTCCCTTGGACAGCAAGGAGATCCAACCCGTCCATCCTAAAGGAGATCAGTCCTGGGTGTTCATTGGAAGGACTGATGTTGAAGCTGAAACTCCAATACTTTGGCCACCTGATGCGAAAAGTTGACTCATTGGAAAAGACCCTGATGCTGGGAGGGACTGAGGGTAGGAGGAGAAGGGGACAACAGAGGATGAGATGACTGGATGGCATCACAGACTCGATGGACATGAGTTTGAGTAAACTCCGGGAGTTGGTGATGGACAGGACGGCCTGGCGTGCTGCCTTTCATGGGGTCGCAAAGAGTTGAACACGACTGAGTAACTGAACTGAACTGAACTGAAGACCAACAATTAATTACTCCACTTTCATAGATTTTATTTATGCTATGTTTAGTTGTTCCCATCTGTGAGAATAATTTTTTTTAGTTGGGTCTTGCATCGACTCCACTTTTATTCCATTTTTTCTTATTCCTCAATAATCATACTAATATGAACAGTAAGAGTCAAAACTTACAGAGACACGATGTGACTTGTGCAAGGACGGTTCTAGATGCTTTATATTTATTAAATCATTTTCTTTGTGTATATTAACTTATGTAATTTTCACCCTAACTCTGTAGGATCGGCACTGCTATTTCCCCCACTTTGCAGATGATAAAAACATCACATGTATTCTAACTTGTCCAACAGTCACACAGGCTTCCCAGGATGTACAGTGGTAAAGAATCCATGTTCCACTGCAGGAGATGTAAGAGACATGGGTTCAATCCCTGCATCAGAAAGATCCCTTAGAGTAGGAAATGGCAACCCACTCCAGTATTCTTGCCTGGAAAATTCCATGGACAGAGGAGCCTGGCAGTTTATATAGTCCATGGGATTGCAAAGAGTTGGACATGACTGAGTGACTGAGCCTGCCACACAACATCACACAACCAGGAAATGATGGAACCCAGGTCCAACCCAGTCTGACCTTATGTCATGTGCTACCTCTGTGGTCCAAATAAGTGTAAGATGTTATATGTGGATCTAAGGTATGTTGGGGCTTATCTCATGGCTCAGCTGCTAAAGAATTCACCTGCAATGCGGGAGACCTGGGTTCAATCCCTGGGTTGGGAAGATCCCCTGGAGAAGGGAAAGGCTACCCATTCCAGTATTCTGGCCTGGAGAATTCCATGGACTGTATAGTCCATGGAGTTGCAGAGAGTCGGTATGTTGAATAGTTAAACATTCTCAACCCTTGTGTCTCTTCAGGTTTACCCAGGACTGTAAGCTCCCTGTAGGGAGAGAACGTGACCTTTGTCCTGCGCAGCTCCTTCCAGCTTTCCTTAGGAGTGACTCTAAGCCCCTACAGCTGCCAGATGGGCAGAGCCTTAGCCAGGCTTTTGTTTGAGCCCTGAGGTTCAGGCCCAGGTTCTCAGGCCTGCTTTGTTTGCTTCTCTTTCAGAAAGTCCAACCGTCATGCTGTCTGCTGGCAGCTTTTCCTCCCCGTATGAGCACCTCAGCCAGCCAGAGACAAAGCGCATGGTGGAACACTACACAGCCTATCTCAGTGACAACACCCGCCTCATTGCCAACCCGGGGCTCAAAGTGAGTGCTGTCCTGGGGCCCACATTTCTGCTACGGCCCTCCGCAAGCCCGGGAGGGGACGGTGCAGTGAACCTTTGAAGTGGGAAGCTGGCCTCTGGATCTGTGCCTCTCAGCTGGAGAGCCAGAGAGACAGAGTGTGAGGCCGGGGAGGCTGGCCGGCGAGGACCCTTCTGTGGATTAAGAAGCCCTGTGGGCCAGATGCAGAATATCTTTCAGGTTTTAGATGCAGTAGAGGCTTCCTAGGTAGGCAGGGTAGGAGTTAAAGACCAGAGAAACTTTCCCAGCCCCATTTTTCCCAGGGGGATGAAGTAAAGTGCCCCTACTGTCTGCTGAGATAAGTATGATGAAGTTTAAGGAGCAGAGATTTAGGGGATGTGTGTGTGTGAGAGAGAGTGCACGCATGTGCCTGTGTATGTATTTAATTATTTAATGCTGCACTATACGTTCTTTCCTCATAAATGCAAGAAAGCCTTGCTAGGATGAACAACTGAGTAAGTCACACATCCACTGGCTATATTTCAGGAAGCTTTTGTTTTCACCAAGTTTGGCTGTATCCATCTGCTGTGGAAAGATTTTTAAGAAGTAATTGGGCTTGGCTTCTCTGCAAGAGAGCTTTGGGAAGCTCTGCCAGCAGGCCATTCTCTTTTCATGTGAGTCTTAAAGGGTCCCCGCTATGTCTTTCTTTGTTTCCCAGTTCTCTGTCAGAAATGAAGTAATGGCTACCAGCCACGTCACAGATGAATGGATGACACAAATGGAAATGAGTAGCCTGAACACTTACATTGTCCGCCGTTACATAGCAACACCCAATGGCGTCCTCAGAATTTATCCTGGCTCCCTCATGGACAAAGCATTTGATCCCACTAGGAGACAATGGTGAGTTTTAGGGGCTTCCATTATCAAAGGTTCTCCCCCAATCCTGGAGAGACATGATAAGTACACACAATAAAGCAACTTCTGGCAGTCATATTTAAAGAAGATACTTTTCATGGCAGTGAAAATATGTTTTTGAATTGTTCTTTAAACGTGGTGTGAACAGCAGCTTTGTGGGCTTCCTCTGTCTACAATGCTTTTATCTCTTTATTGAGCTGTTGAGACTGAAATGCTTTATACTTGGCCATTTCAGTTCCTAGTGGTTTGATTCCCACCTTATATGCAGTGTGTCCACAATGGATATACTTAATGTCACTGCATATGATCATGGCATCAAATTACAGCTCATATGACCTATGAAACATGACATAAAAACTGAAAAATACTTTTTCACTTCAAGGATTTATTTTTACTCTGATTTTCAAAAGCAAAAGCTGGTCAGGTAGTATAGCAAGAGACAACCTGGGCATAAAGACAGGGTTTCTCTTCTTGTGCTGCTTAGTAGCCGAGTTACTCATGAGTTAGCTCATCTTTTTTACTGCCTGTTCTCCCACCCTTCCCAACCCACGGCACATTTTTATGTGCCCCAGTTCTGTTTGTTCCTACCTGATTTATTAATCTTTGGTTTTGCCTGTAAAACATCTATATTTTTTTAAAGCTTATGAAAGCTCACATATATACTGAGTTCAGTATCTTTTCAAAAGAGAATTTCATATTTTTATTGACCTCTTGTTGTTGCTGCTATAATCATATATAAAGGGTAGGAAGCCTTTTCAACTTAAATGTAACATAAGCACAGTTTACAATATTTTTTTAGGTTGCAAGCTCACTTTACTTTGAAATGTGCAAAGTTGTTGTTCATACACTAAAGTAAGGACTTTTTTGGTCTCCCATTAGGTATCTCCATGCAGTAGCTAATCCAGGTTTGATCTCCTTGACTGGCCCTTACTTAGATGTTGGAGGAGCTGGCTATGTAGTGACTATCAGTCATACAATTCACTCATCCAGGTAATATTTCTTTATTTTTAATTTTCTTTTTAATTGGAGGATCATTCCTTTACCAATGTTGTATTGGTTCCTACTGCACAACAACGTGAATCGGCTGTGTATATACTTTTCCCCTCCCTCTGGCGCCTCCCTCCCATCTCACGTCTCAAAGTCATCACAGAGCACTGGGCTGATCTCCCTGGGTTACTCAGTAGCTTCCCGCTAGCTATCTGTTTTACACATAGTAGTGTGTATATGTCAATGGGGCTCTCTCAATTCATCCACCCTCTCCTTCCCCCGCCAGGTAATGGTTCAATTAATATTTACTCATTTCTTGAAAATGTTAAGGATATTTTGAAAATCTGAATAGAACAGTAGATAGTAAGGAGTAGTAGCAAAGGTATGACATTTGATATGGGCAAGCTGGGATGTGAATATCTTCTCTGTGTTATCTCGGATTTCCTAAACTTCCTGATGTCTGTAAAATGGGGATAATACTTACCTTACAAGGTTATCGTGTGATTGAGTCAGTAAAAAGCACTTAACCCTCTTAGTGGCCATGAGGGTGATTATGAAGAAGAAAAACAGAGATGTTAAATTCAGTAAAGCAGTTCCTAGAAATGCCAGTCTTAAACCAATCAAAAAAATAGCACCAAGCACTTGACAGTTATTATTATCAGAGAGTATTTTCCCAAGCAAAGAGTACTGCTAGTGAAGGAAAAAATGTATCAAGACAAAATTCTTACCTCTTGTATTTGGGTTTCTTTAGAATTATACATGGCAACCCACTCCAGTACTCTTGCCTGGGAAATCCCATGGTCGGAGGAAGGAGCCTGGTAGGCTGCAGTGCATGGGGTCGCAAAGTGTCAGACACAACTGAGAGACTTCACTTTCACTTTTCACCCTCACGCATTGGAGACATAAATGGCAACCCACTCCAGTGTTCTTGCCTGGAGAATCCAGGGACAGAGGAGCCTGGTGGGCTGCCGTCTATGGGGTTGCACAGGGTTAGACATGACTGAAGCGACTTAGCAGCAGCAGCAGAATTATATAGGAATTTGTTGTTGTTATGATGGCTTTGTTGCTGTTCTTACTTTGTCTTTGCACTTTCTTGAGAAATGAATGGCATGTTGAAAACTGATTTTTCCAAGAAGGCTATAAAATGTCAGTATCACTGTAAATATATTTAGGGTGCTTTATATTTCAGGTTTTTGAGGTTTCAGTTTTTAAACTACAAATGTCAATGAAATGTTGGATAGGGAGAAAAGTCAAACACACTGTTTTAATCCCTTCATTGTACAAATCACAATTTTTTCCTTAGCAACCAATAGAGATTATATCTTGACTGGTATCTGTAATGATGCCTTAAAATTTATGGGAGACAGATTTTCTTGCTAACTTTATGCTTTTCACTGGTGCTCATTATATATCAAATGATTGACATCAGTAGAATTCTTCTAATGCTGGTTCATTGGGAACAAGAATTGGGAAGCAATGCTGTGTGGAATTTCAATAGCATGACCTGTGTCTCCATGCTAAGCAGGGCACTGTTGCCAGCCAGATATTGATTTCTTTTCAGGGCATGGTATCTATTTGGCTTCATCACATATGAACAAGCAAACATTCTTTTATTTTTTATTTTTTCATTTTTTTTTTTTGCAAACATTCTTTTAGAACAAATCTTTTCAATGCCTTATAGTAACAGACCATCTATAAGGCATATACCTACTATTGTCTGAATAGCAAGACTGATCTTTTCTCTCATATATTCTAGTCAATTGAGAAAAGGTAAACAGAGGTGTCTTCTTCGAGGGGACAGAAGTCACCTTGATATTTGATGACAAGGACATGGGCTGGAATCAGGCTCTTAAAGGTGATGCTTGGAGCAGGAAGAGGATGCCTACCTGTGTGTGTCTTACTTATTCCGTGACTTATTCCTTGATCTGGCTTCTCCTGCCTGCCACTCATTATCAAGAACCATTAACTTTTCCTCCTACACAGTATTGTTTTGCTGTAGGGGAGGCAGGGGGATCACAGAGGTGCAGATATTTATGCTCATGTACTTATTTTTGTCAGAATTTGAGTGGGTGGAAGAATTTCTCATTTATTTATAAATATTTATCATGTCATCCCAAATGAAGCATGATGGAAATAGGATGGACTTTCAAGTTAGAAAATATCTTGGGTTCAGTTCCCTTATTTGGTTATTATTTATGATTCAGACAGTAAAAGAATCTGCCTGCAATGCAGGAAACCCGGGTTTGATCCCTGAGTCAGGAAAATCCACTGGAGAAGGGAATGGCTACCCACTCCAGTATTCTTGCCTGGAGAACTCCATGGATAGAGGAGCGTGGTTGGCTAGAGTCTATGAGGTCCCAAAGAATTAGACACAACTGAGCAACTAACACTGATAGTATATTTAGACTACACAAGTTTAGCTATTTAAGTTTAACAAGAGTTAAAAGGCCTGTCCAACACTCATTCAATGAGAGTGTATTCCAGGAATAAGTATCTGCTCATGCCTTGATCAATATGCAGTCCCATGGACTTGATTGTTTGAACATTTTCCTTAGGTGAGCATGTTTTTATTATTTAAAACCTTCTATTTTGTTCACTGTATAATTTAGAATGCAAGTCAACTACTGCTTCTGGTTTTCAACCAAGGCAACCACAGCTTTAATGAATGTGTTCATAGGTGGGCTCTGCAAAGGGACTTCTTCCAGATGAGTACCAGTGACTTTGATCTCACATGCCAACTTGAGAACCTGCCCTCCCCTAAGATGGATTCTACTCTGAAAAAGCAGATTTGCCATTTACTGTCTGTATGACTATTAACAAGTTCCTTTTTTGCCTTGGTTTCCTCACTTGTGAAAGAGGGATATTAGGATCTACCTCAAATGATGATTTAAAGATTATTTTAAGAAACATACATGAACCTCCAAGAACACTGCATGGCCCATGGCAAGGGCTCAATAAATGTTAAATGTTTTTGTTAGTATTATATTCCATGATTCTCTGAGCCTTCTGTGTAAAACAGAGGTAGCAATGCCTGGGTTGAACTGAAAAAATGAAAATTATAGATAATGCATGTAAAATGCTTGCCAGAGTCAAATCCTCAATAAATGGTAGTTACTTTTATTATCACGCTATTCATGCTTTAAATTTCTGGCATTTTAATGGGTCAGAAGAGAGAACTTAGCTAATGTTCAACTTGTCGTGAAGCCCTCTAATTCTCCCTTGGTTTTCAAATGCAGTTGGGCTGCACGCTTGAGGACAGGCTTTTCAGTGCTCGCATAAACAGCTATAGCAACTGTGCTATGATTCTTTCAACAGCATTATTAGTGGCCTGAGAATCTAGGTGTTTGTTCTTTGGAGGATGATAATGTGGTAGAAGTGACGAAGTACAGTCAGTGATTAAGGAACTGGTCAGACAAGTCTTTGGCAGTGAAAATCTCACCAAAGTGCTGCAAACAGCATGCAATGTTGTGCTGAGAAATGTAGGTTTGGTTTCATTTTCCTGTGGTATTCTTTATGAGTTGCTATGGTGACCATGGACATATTTCAAATGCAGGTGAAAATGTGAATGCTAGACTTCCATGGGCAATATATATGCTTTTACTTCAGAGTGTTTATCATATATGGGAGCAGATGGCAGTCATGCAAGGGAATTTTAGAAACAAAATCAACTTGTCCCCAAAAACCTGAATTGTATTTTTCACTAAGGCAGCTATAGTACTATAGAAAGAACCAGATTTCATACTGGTTTCTAAGCCATAAGTAAAAAGTGATCGATAACCATTCTAACCCTAATTTTTCATTTATAAAATAGGAATTTTAATTCTTTTCTGATGTCTTCAAAGGAAATTAAATAAATGGTTTAAAATTGCTTGGAAACTTTTGAATGCCATGCAGATATAAGGAGGCAGAAAACCTATTGGTGCAGCCTTTCCGGGTAGCACCAGTAGTAAAGAATCCACTTGCAGGAGACATAAGAGACGCCAGTTCAGTCCCTGGGTCAGGAAGATCCTCTAGAGGAAGGCATGGCCACCCACTCCAATATTCTTGCCTGGAGAATCCCCATGGACAGAGAAGCCTGGTGGGCTACATACCATAGGGTCTTAAGGAGTTGGACATGCCTGAAGTGATTTAGCATACAACACATATGCTTTGAAGTTAAAGGCCCTGAGTTTAAATTCAGGCTTCCACTAAGTATTCACTATGTGACCTTAACCAAACACTTAATCTCCCCAAGCTTTGGTTTTCTGGAAGTACTGCCTCATAAGGTTTCTGTGAGAAATCATTGAAATGATGTATTCAGATGCCTACCAGAATGCCTATCAATTGTGAACATTCAGTTAATAGAAGCCATTACCGTCGTAATGATGACTATTATGCAGACTCATCTCTCTTTCCTGAACAAGCCATAGGAGTATAGACTTCTTTTGACTAGTACTTCAGCAAAATATTATTTTCTACAATGTACAAATCCTGTAAGGTAACTGAGTCTTCAACTGTTCCCATGGTAGAATTTAAGCTACTTAAGTAATAATAGGAGCTCTTTTTGAGGCAGTAGCCTCTCAAAGACAATCCCACAACATGGTCTTCCCCCATCCATGCCCAAAATAGCTCTGATAGAAATTTATTTATTTATTTATAGCTGTGATGGGTCTTCGTTGCTTTACAGGGTTTTTTCTCTAGTTGTGGTGAGCAGAAACTACTCTTTATTGGAGTGCACAGGCTTCAGTAGTTCTGGCTCTCAGGCTCTAGAACTTCGTGGCATGGTGATCTTCCCAGACCAGGGATCCAACCTGTATCTCCTGCACTGTCAAGCAGATTCTTTACCACTTAGCCACCAGGAAAACCTCAGAAATTTCTTTTTTTTATATATGTTTATTTATTTGGCTGCACTAGGCTTTTGTTGCAGCATGTGAACTCTTAGCTCTGACATGGGATCTAGTTCCCCTGAGCAGGAATCAAACCCGGGCTGCCTTCAGTGGGAGCACAGAGTCTCAGCCAATGGACTATCAGGGAAGTTCCTGATGGAAATTTCCATTGCAGGTCTTGGTCTCTTTTTCTAGTTTTGTTTTGTTTGCTTCAACAGGAGTGAGGGGTCAGTGATGAGGGTTGGGTTAATATGTTAGGATTAATGTTGACAGTAAATAGTTGTCTGTATGGCAAAGCTATTTTCACTTTCAAGTTTTGATTTTCCAGAAGAGGATTTTACTTTGGGAAGTTTCTTCTGAGCTTCAGCATCATTTTTCTTTTGGTATTTTTCTTAATGAAGAAATTAGGCAGGTAAATAACGGTAATGATGGGCACTTGAAACATTGCATGTGGAATAAACTTCAAATTTTTAACCAGTATAGGAATATTGGAGTTCATTGGTTAAGTTAACCCAGGATCCTTCAACTACCCATGAACATAAACTAAGAAGAACCTCAGTTCCAATGAAATGCTTATACTTCTGACATATTTAGCAATTTCTCTGAAAGAATAAAATGTTTACTCGCTGTGTAGGCCTGAGCTTAAAGCCATGTTTAGTTTTCTTTAAAGTAACTTCTCCTTATTAGGTATTTTCAGTATATTAAGCAGCTTGCTAAGTGCTATAAACACACTCTCCCATTTAATCCCAGTAACAGCCCTTTGACGTAGATACTGTCATTAACCCCGTTTTCAGATATGAAAGCTGAGCCTTAGAAAGGTTAAGTAGCATCCCAGGAGCCAAATAGATAGGAACCAACAAGGCCAGGGTCTGAGAGCTAAAAGGCTAGCAAGCATATCTGTCCTCCCCAACTTCCTGTGTGTTTGCTCCTATTTTTGTGAGAAACATTTTTGAGTGGAGACAGCACTGGCCTATGAACCAGGAGAGTCTTGTTCTAGAATATGAGCTGGTTTTGAGTAGAGCCAACTTTATAGTGTTACAGGAAGACAGTGAAACATTGGTTTTACTAATTTTGTATGACCTAAACTAGTTAACCTTTGAGGTCGCTATTAAATGAGATGTATAGATTAATAACTATAGATTTTTTTTCATTATCTATAAAATGAAGGAAATAATGACATCACTCAAGCTTCCTGTCTAAAGGCTCCTTTTGAAGACTGTTGGTTGCCAAGGGGGAGGCATTTGGGGAGGAAATGGAGTGGGAGGTTGGGGTTAGCAGATGTAAGCTTTTATATATAGAATGAATAAACAACAATGTCCTACTATAGCACAGAGAACTATATTCAGTATCCTCTGATAAGCCGTAATGGAACAGAATATTTTTAAATGTATAACAATCACTTTGCTAAACAGTTGAAATTAATACATTATAAATCAACTATATCTCAATTTTTTTTTAATTGAAGGAAAAAAAGTTTCTTGTTGGGAGGAACCCTGAGAGCCACATATTAAACCTCCCATCTGATACCTATCTCCCCCACCCCCATATTCTTGGCAAAGAATAATCCCACCATTGTCTGAACATCTATAGTTCAGTTCAGTCACTCAGTCATGTCTGACTCTTTGCGACCCCACGGAATACAGCACACCAGACTTCCGTGTCCCATCACCAATTCCCAGAGCTTGCTCAAACTCATATCCATTGAGTCGGTGATGCCATCCAACCATCTCATCCTTTGTCATCCCCTTCTCCTCCTGCCATCAATCTCCCAGCATCAGTGTCTTTTCCAGTGAATCAGTTCCTCACATCAGATGGCCAAAGTATTGGAGTTTCAGCTTCAGCATCAGTCCTTCCAATGAATACTCAGGACTGATTTCCTTTAGGATGGACTGGTTGGATCTCCTTGCAGTCCAAGGGACTCTGAAGCGTCTTCTCCGACACCACAGCTCAAAAGCATCAATTCTTCAGCTCTCAGCTTTCTTTACAGTCCAACTCTCACAACCATACATGACTACAGGAAAAACCATAGCCTTGATTAGGTGGACCTTTGTCGGCAAAGTAATGTCTTTTCTTTTTAATATGCTGTCTAAGTTGGTCATAGCTTTTCTTGCAATAGTTATGACTAGCCGTATTCTACAACTGACCTGTGTTTTGGTTTTAGACTAGTCTTAATCAGGAATTCTTACCTTTAATCTTAAGTTTTTCTCTTATCAAATCTCCATGTTATGCTACGTTAGTCATTTAGTTAATTGTTTCTCCAAGGGTGGAAAGTGTGAGAACAGTGAGCATGTGTTTCTGAAACCATACCATGTCCTATGATTGAATATAGTTTTTGCCTTTAAATAAGACACACCTCTTATTCTTACTGATCTTTTTTACGTGAAGTACGCAGCTGTCTTCCGGGCATACTGTGGCTGTGATGGGCATTGATTTCACACTTAGATACTTCTACAAGGTTCTGATGGACTTGTTGCCAGTTTGTAACCAAGATGGTGGCAATAAAATAAGGTAAGCCCTTCAGGGACTGTGTATCCTAACTAGCTGCAGAATACAAAGACAAGGATGTCTAGTGGGATGCCAGCCACCTTGTCATAGGACCAGAAACTGAGTCCAATGCCTAGGTGTCCTACTAAGGAGGTTTTTATCCTTTTAATTTCTAAAATGTGTGTTGCTTATGACTAAACAAACAGATTTGACTTCTAACAAGGGGAGTAACTGTAGCACAAAATTCTCCAAAACCTGTTACTTCTCTAGTAGTCAATAATTACAGGTTTCCCATATCTTGGGTGCTAGAAAGACCAGAGGGTACTCTTGGGTAGTACTTTTGATGTGAACTTAGTTATTAAACCAAAGCCTTTGTGAGATTTTCAGACACTTAGACTTTGTACATTTTGTTCCTTTGTACATTTCCCCAGAAAGAGCCTCATGGAACCGAAAGTCTTTGCTGCCTGAATTTCAAAAGAGCATGTCTGATCAAAGCAAGGGCATTCCCTTGATTTAATACAGGCTGCTTTTTAAAATAGCTTTGTTATTTCCAACTCATGGCCCGTGCTTCATGTCGCTGCTAAATTTCACATTGGCCCTTAATGGGTAAATGCAGGATTCACAGCAAATTGTTATGATGAATGGAGAGTAAAACAGAGCAGAATATAGTCTTGATGAAATGAGTTCTAGCTTCACTTATTTAGTGTTATCATCAAATATATTTTTTTATGTCTTCTGCATGCTATATTTTATATATCTTTATCATTGAAAGAATAAATTGTATGGTTTACTTAAAATTTGTGCCTGTAAATACTCACGGATGTTTCTTTCAGTCTCCCTCCCCAGGAAGAAAAGAAGAGTCTCGCTTTACATGTTTTTGCAAAAGATCGTTAAGCCCATCTTACATAGTCTGTGTGGTCACATTCTTATGAAGTATATAGGTGAACTCAGAGTCAGGTATAACTCTCTGACCTTAAACCTTATGCCAGGTGATCCAGCACCTCAAGAATACTGTGTCTGTCACCCGACTGCCAGCCTTCCTTCATTTTGCCCATGCACATTTATTGAGGACCTGAGATAAATGCAGTTTGTGTTAGGACTAGCAAGATAAATGCTCTCCAAAGCATAGAGCAATGGCTTCTATGAATGAGGGATGTCCTTGTCTTGGTATAGGTGCTTCATTATGGAGGACAGGGGATATCTGGTGGCACATCCAACCCTCATCGACCCCAAAGGACATGCACCCGTGGAGCAACAGCACATCACCCACAAGGTACTTGTCATGAAGTTGGAGCCCAGTTCTCCAGTGGCCTGTGGCTCACTAATGACATGGCATCTGTCTTCTGCTTGGCCTTGGTAGGAGCCCCTGGTAGCGAATGACATCCTGAACCACCCCAACTTTGTCAAGAAGAACCTATGCAACAGCTTCAGTGACAGAACGGTCCAGAGGTTTTATAAATTCAACACGAGCCTCGTGGTAAGGACTCCTCCATGTTTTCCTCTCCCGTCTGGCTGCGGAGTTGCAATGGAGTCATGGTTTCTGTCTGAATGTGGGCTACTCCCAGCTGTTTTCACTGCCTGGGAACTAGAGTGAGAGGCCGTGACAGTCCAGCTCCCCAGTCTGATTGTGGGATATAAAGCCCAGAGTGGATAAGTGAATGTTTTAAGGTCTCACACTTGGTATTTTGCCTTGGTTTTGTTTGTTTAAAGACTCATCCAATCTAAGCCCTTTGAAATGTCTGCTACAGTCTCTTCCCACATTCTTGTATAAATACATGTGGGATGAAACAGGGCGGATGACTAGAAACTAACCTAATTTGGCTTTAGTAATTTAGGGAGACTGAGTAACCTCCAGAAGACAGGAAGAGAGGACCACATGGTGCCACACTCAACGTAGATCATCCAAAAATAATTTTTTTTCGTTTAGAAGACCTTATTATGATTTGAGATGCTACAGACTTACCTGGATATAGTCAGAGTCCTTGAGGATATACTTTTTAATTTGTACATAATCCCAGCTGAGAGAGAATGGGTCATGACAGAATCGACATTCAAAAAGTTATTCACAAGAAGTAATCTTATTCACAAATCATTACATGTATCATTTAAAAAAGTAATTATAAAGGGACTTCCCTGGTGGTGCAGTGGTTAAGACTCCAAACTCTAATGCAAAGGTTGCAGGTTCTATCCCTGGTCAGGGAGCTAAGATCCTACATGCTGCAGGATACAGCCAAAAATTTTAAAAATTAATAATAATTGTAAAGATGTATTGGGTTAAATGAAAATCCTAAACACAAGCTTGGAAAAAGTGAATGCAAAAACAATTGTCTGGGGAAATAGAAGAGTTTTTAAAATGAATATATTAATAGGTTAGTGTTTTCAAAGCGGAGGAAGTCATTGTTACTCTGTTCCGCCCCCATACCTTGATGAGCACTTTCTATAAAGGAGACATTGACAAACATGAGTGTGATTAGAGGGAGGCTGTCAGGTAAGGCTGTCATATGAAAGTCTGCCTTAGTCAGCATATCTGCTATCATTTGTACAAAGACTTTCTGAGCCTTCAGGAGACAAGCCACGATACCCCAGTAGAAATTTTTCAAAATGCAAATTTTAGTGGAATATGAATTAGAATAAATTCTTAGCAGCCTAAGTTATTCCAAAATGGAATTGGAGCATTCCTGGTTATTGGAGCTAACAGGCCGATAAGCCTATGTTATTGCTTATCTTGTAAAGGTGGGTGTGTTCCAGGCAGTGGAGAATTCATCGAGACCTCTTGAAGACCCTTTCAGTGCCACGATTCTCAGAGTTAGGCTTATCCTTACTATGCACACCTAAGGGAGGACTGGCATGGAAATAAGAATGGGATTAAATAATTGGCCCACTACATATGACACATGCAGAAAAAATGACCATATTCAACTTTACAATGCTGCTTTAGAATCTTTGGCTTTCAGATAATTGTAGACATTTCATGAAGCCACCTACTTTTTTTGTGATAGAATGAAGAAAAGGATGCTCACTTTAGTTGGATTGTTTAAATATTCTGGAAGCAGAAAACTGGCCTCTTAAAGAGTCTTTGGTTTTTATATAATTGTATTATTCTATAATAAGAGATTTGTTATCCAAGGGACGGTGAGGGGGAGACAACGGGTGCATGTTTTTGGCTGATTCAGTTTCACTTTGAATAAACTTTAGGCTATTCTGTACCTGAAAGTTGTCTTTATTGCTTCTTGCAGTTATTTTCATTTTATGTCATTATGTGTTTTAAAAAAAGAAAAATTACAGAAAGAGCTATAAAAACATCATGTCACCATGTGCTGTGCTATGCTTAGTCACTCAGTCATGTCCGACACTTTGTGACCCCATGGATTGTAGCCCACCAGGCCTCTCTGTCCATGGGGATTCTCCAGGCAACAATACTGGAGTGGGTTGCCATTCCCTCCTCCAGGGGATCGCCCCAACCCAGGGATTGAGCCCTGGTCTCCCGCATTGCAGACGTCTTTACTGTCTGAGCCACCATGGGTAAAAGAAGAATGTACACACACTATTAAATGAGGTCTATCTCTGACTGATAGTAATTTTTATGAAAATTTTATGTTTCCCAAATTTCTAGCAATGACTGTATAATTACTGTTTTAATCAGAAGTAAAGATTTGTTGTAAGCTGTTTTCAGGATGGTAGAGCTGAATCTTTGCATTGTTGTCTGTCACTTCTGACACGTCTGTTGCCTATAGGGGGATTTGACGAACCTTGTGCATGGCAGTCACTGTTCTAAATACAGACTGGCGAGGATCCCAGGAACCAATGCATTTGTGGGCATTGTCAACGAAACATGCGACTCTCTTGCCTTCTGTGCTTGTAGCATGGTAGACCGGCTCTGTCTCAACTGTCACCGGTAAAAGTGGGGTGGGACATACTCTCTGTTTACCACCTATTGAATATCTTAACTGATGCCAACTATACAATATATATAAAGTGCTCGGGTGTGTCCTAAAGAAAAGGAAAGTCCTGTTTGCAAAAGCATTTAGAACTGTTGTTTGTAACATCTTTGTTCAGAGAACAGTGGATTGAGGTCAGTTGAATATTTAAACCTTTGGTGATAGCTTTTACTGCCTGTTTTAGCTAGCTCATGTTGCCTTTATTTCACCTCCCTCAGTGTGTGTACAACATACAGTTTATCAACTCTCTGCATAGTAACTCCTTTTGCTTTTCAGAATGGAACAAAATGAATGTGAATGTCCTTGTGAGTGCCCTCTAGAGGTCAATGAGTGTACTGGCAACCTCACCAATGCAGAGAACAGGTAAATAAAAAATCGTGTATATATATATATATATATATATATATATACACACATACACAGACATATATATATTTGTGGGTTTCCCAAGTGGCACAGTGGTAAAGAACATGCCCGCTAATGCGGGACACATGGGTTCGATCCCTGGGTCAGGAAGATCCCCTGGAGTAGGAAATGGCAACCCACTCTTAATATTATTGCCTGGAAAATTTCATGGACAGAGGAGCCTGGCTGGCTAGAATTCATGGAGTCGCAAAGAGTCAGACATAGCTGAACAACCAAGCACATACATATATGTGTTATATATGCATATTTATACTGGGAGTCACATGTGTGTATATATATACATATATGTGTGTATATATATATAAAAGACTACATATGTGTGTGTGTGTGCCCATTTATACTGAGAGTCTTATTATAGATTTGTTTCAAGTTGGAACTATAAGAAGGTGATTCATTAGTGATGGAACTGTTCAATGAGCTAGTTTTCACACTCTATAGTATTTTAAAATGAAGCCCACTTTCAGGTTTGAATAAAAATTCTAAAAAAGTTTTATGAGTGTATGTACTATTTACAAAAAGTATGAGACTGTTGCAAGTATTAACTAAGTGCCTCACATGGTCAGATGCTGTATGCCTGGTAAGTCACTTAGTTTTCAAGTCTACCCTTTGATAAACAGGTAGGAACCTTTCACACACACAATATAGCATTATTTTTCTCAGTGACAGATTTTAAAACCAGATTGGCCCCGGGTTTCATACAGGTAAATGACAAAGCCAGAGTTCAAACCCAGATCTTTCTGGCACTGTCAGGGGCCAAGGCCATGACGAGTTTGGAATGCAGATGGTATCCGTCCTAACCTTCGGACTTGCTCCTTCATAGAAACCCAAGCTGTGAGGTACACCAGGAGCCAGTGACGTACACAGCTATTGACCCTGGCCTGCAGGATGCTCTTCACCAGTGTGTAAACAGCAGGTGCAGTCAGAGGATGGAGAGTGGGTAAGCAGTTCCCAGTGCTGAACTCACGTCAACATCACAGACATGGGAGCAGAGCTTAGGAAAGAATAGAGAACAGCAGCCTCAATGAGATTTTCCGGATGATATTCATCATCCCCATTTTTGATGTTCTTAAAAGATGTGCCAGTTTTTCAGATCTAAAAGTGCCTTTTATCTGCCTTTTATCCACCAATTTTAGTGTTATTTGGTTTCTACTTGTTACAGATATTTGGCACATGTACCTATGTTAGTGGTCTTCCCGGTGGTTCAGATGGTAAAGAATCTGCCTACAGTGCAGGAGACCCGGGTTCAATCCCTGGTCGGGAAGATCCCCTAGAGAAGGGAATGGCTACCCACTCCAGTATTCTTGCTTGGAGAATTCCATGGACGGGGAACCTGGCAGGCTACAGTCCATGGGGTTGCAAAGAGTCAGACACGACTGAGCAACTAACGGGCCCATGCTTGCACGTGCACGCCCATACACACACACACACACACACACACACACCTATATTAGTAGCCTCATCTGTGGGTGGAAAAGTTTTCTAGAAATAAGAGGCATAAGAGAGGAAATGGCATGACAAAGCAAGGCCAAGGGAGCAGGAAATCATGGGTTCTAGAAACAGAACTCAGCAGTGTGTGTGATGCATTGAAACTTTTCAATTCTTCTTTCTTAGAAAACAGGTATACTTTATGGCAGTTTTGTGGACTAAAAACTGCATGATCCCTGCTCCCTCCACCTCCTCCCTAGGGTGTTTGGGACTAGACAGCTGCAGGTTGCCATTTGATTCAACAAAATTAGTGGGTGAAAGGGGCAGCCAGTTCTACTTTTGGTATGTATTTTAACAGAGGAATTATAGGGTATCAGATAGATCAACTCGGTGTGTTATGCAGTTATCCAAAGCCTAGCGTGAGAAACACTGCATATATTCTCTTAGAGTGTCATAATTCACTCAACATATTAAAAGTTCTAAGAAATTTGCAGTAAAGAAATGTTTAACTGATCACTATTTCCCAAACTTGATTAATCAGGTTTTTTTTTCCTTCCTTCCTTTTTTTTTTTTTTAAATAACCATAAACCTGGAGGATGTTAGGCCAAAGCCTAACAAACCTTGGGGGCCATGTGGTCTTTTAAGATGATTTTAAGTGACCCTGCACTAACCCATGATGTGTGGAGTTCATGGTTTGAGTAACAGAGAGCAATTCTATTTCTCTCATCTCCAAGCTGTTGAGAGACATTAGGCAGCTCTCCCCTGGTGGACAATGGCCATGCTCCTTTTACAAGGAAAGGCAACTCAGTCTCAGGGAGGTACAGCATAGTGAGTCATGGAACCCCGAGAGCTGTCTGATGCCCAGATCGACGTGCTCGGCCTGCCTGACACTGCCTTCTGGAATGTTCAGCACTGTCTTTCTGGCAGGGACTGCTTTGGTGTGCTGGATTGTGAATGGTGCATGGTGGACAGCGATGGGAAGACCCACCTGGACAAATCCTACTGTGCACCCCAGAAAGAATGCTTTGGGGGGATCGTTGGAGCCAAAAGTCCCTATGTTGATGACATGGGAGCAATAGGTAATGTTTTGGGGGAACCCAGAATAACTTGATTCTTGAAAACATATTTTCTGGCCTCTATACTAGAACACAGATCTTAAAATAATTCCCTAACCTACTTCCCTGTTTCCTTTGCCAGTAGTTTTGAGTTGCAAAACCAAGGCAAATAATTACTTTCAAAGCTGGCTAGCTCTCCTGTGCAGAGTGAGCAGCCATCTTTCCTGCCAAGTTTTGCAAGCCTGAAATGCATTCCCATAAAGCTCGTTCTGAGAAATATCAGGCCTGATTTCTGAGCGGCTGAGCTGTGGGGTTTGTATGAATGTGAATCCCAGCTGTCTGGAGCACAGGGCTGGTGATGGGCAGAGTGACCCATGGACATCGCCTTCCTGCTGCATCCTTCTCTCACGACTTTTGAAGACAGACATCTTAGGGCTCCAAATCAGTATTTAGGGCCTCGAGTTCAACAAAAGCCCACGCTGTCCAGTGCAGCAGGCGACTTAGGTGGGGGAAAGAGACATTGTTGGGAGGAACACCACTGGGATCAGGCCCCCCAAAACCCCCAAATACTACCTGCCTACTTCTCCCCAAATACTACCTGAGATTTTCTCTGTGTCTTACTGCAGTCAGCACAAGCATCTTGAGTGTGCTCTCAGGTGAATAGATATTTAAACCTTCAGTGAATGCCTTTTTTTACATCTCTCTGCATGAGCCTTTCTGGGGAAGAAAAGCTTTTCCTTTGTGAGGAAGGGTTCTGAGCCCATGTATGACTATTGGATCAGGTTGGGACATGACCTTGCTCCTAGAAGTCACTTTATAGTCCCACCTGCAGTTTCCTGCCTGAAAAGTGCAAACAGTATTTTAAAGGGAGCCCATAAACTTTGAAATGGGATCCTTTTTGGAGGTAACATGACAGATCCACTGAAATAAATGTCACCAGGTCCAGTAAATATCTGCTGAGAGGCACGCGTCGCCCTCCCTCACCTCTGTACTAAGAGGAGCCCACACCCCAGAGCTGGGCCCTTAGACTGAATGTCTAAGTGATTCTCATCCATTCACTTACTTTACCAGTCCTTGCCAACTGTATTGTTGCCCTCCCAAGCAACCCACATTTAATTTGAGAACCAGAAATTAAAGGAAGCCCTATTCCTCCATCCTGGTGGGTCTTCTTCATGAAAGTCAAGCCTTAAAACAGCTGTTCTTACATGTCTTCACTCAACCCCTTCCCGCTAGATTCTTTCCATCTCACCCCCATCCCCATCTGCTACTACACTTGGGAAGTCTTTACAAGGGATGTCTGTTTATTTTGATCAAGGTGATGAGGTGGTCACATTGAACATGATCAAAAGTGCCCCTGTGGGCCCAGTGGCTGGAGGCATTATGGGCTGCATCATGGTCCTGGTCCTGGCTGTGTACGCATACCGCCATCAGATTCATCGCCGGAGTCATCAGCATATGTCTCCTCTTGCTGCCCAAGGTGAGCTTGAAATGAACCCCAAAGCTCCTCCAGGAAGCAGCAGGTACCCCAGGGTTGTCGCCAGGCTAGAAGGACAATGACTTTTAGTTGTAAGCCTTTAAGCAACTCTAAGAATAGCACTATATTTTCTGCTTCTGTGGAACAGATTCAGAAGTCCCCAAAGCCTGCTTCTCTCCTTTAGCTCACAGCTCATTCTTTAAGGCCTGAATCCTGCAAGCCCCATTCAATTCTCCAGGAAATCCCTAGATTCCGTCTCTCCTTACATGGCTACTTAGCCCACCTCAGCCTGACTCTGGAAGAAGCCAGAAGAAGGGAGTTGGGAGGCTTAGTGGGAAATTCTGTTCTTCGCTGAGCTCAGATGTGCTGTCTTTGCTATTCCAAAAAAGATGGGCAGATCAAAGACAGCCCAGGCCACTAAAGGCAGAACAGGAGTCTGTTCTATTGTAGCCATTATTATATGTGTGAACGAACACACACTCAAAGCGATGATCACAGTTCTTAAAATAGGATAAGAACTGTCCAACCTGGATAAGAACTTGCCAAGATGAGCAATTAGTAATTATGGCTTCCATATCAGGAGTTAAGTGTGGTATCTGTGCTCATCTGCAAGGGGCAAAAAGGATGCAAATGACTATCCCTATCCTCCTAAAAGCCCTTAGGGGTATGTTACCCCGACTTTTGGAGATAAGGCTCACTCATCATTTTTCCTGGACTTGGTCAGGAGCCTGGTAGCTGTCACGATTAGCTGATGTTGGGATAGTTCTCTGTGGTCACAATCCTGTCGGGGGGTCATGGGGTCATGTTGTCTGATTTAGTAACTGAGCTGACCACAAAGCTCTTTCCTCTTGGTAAGATTTGATTCGACTGAGGACGACAGCCATCCAGTGTTACCTTAGGCTTGGCTTCTAGATTCTGCAGCACCATTTTATCAGCACAGCCAGCCCTGGTTTTAGGCCCCTTCCCTCTGTCTCAGGTATCTGTTACTGTTTTTCAGTCACTAAGACGTGTCTGGCTCTTTGCGACCCCATGCACTGCCGCACACGAGGCTTCCCTGTCCTTCCCTATCTCCCAGGCTTGGCTCAAACTCGTGTCCATTGAGCTGGTGAAGGAGCCGATTAAAGACTTGTTAGCCTCAATCAACTTCTGTTCTCCTCTGTCTCTAGAAATCCATCTCAGGTGCCGCTCTGGATTATTCACCTCTTGTTCTCCCTCTTCTGATTTCTGCTGCCTCCTCCTTTAAAAAAAAAATGAGATAAGGCCTCAGTTCACTCCTGATGGAATGCTGTCACCCGACCATCAGATGAGCACTCTGCAGGTGTTAAAGTGGGTGATTTTGTTTGATTAAATAGTCATGCTTCTCTCCTTTTAATGATGGGTAGAAATGTCCGTGCGTATGTCCAACCTGGAGAACGATAGAGATGAGAGGGACGACGACAGCCACGATGACAGAGGCATCAGTGAGTACCCGCGCGGCCTCCACACCAACGTGTCAGCAGGGGGCTGGTCCAAGATAAATGTGCTTTCTTGTATTAAAATTTAAGATGCTTTGACATGATGGAATTCTTTTTATCTCCCATTTTTGCTAGAAGGAAGCATAGGTCTTTGCTTTGTTTTAGAAAATCTACAAAGAATTCAGAGTGTTCTTTGTTGCATTAAGTACATTGGACCTGAAACACCTTACTCTTCCCTTTCTTCCTCCTCCTCATTACTTTCCAGTATAGCATTTTAGAAAGGGAGTCATCAGGTATGCATTTTTTAAATCCCTTAACTAATGTATACAACTGGGGAGAAGAAAAAGAACATTTCTTTATCAAAAGAGAGCTTCATTTGTGGCGAGGTGCTTCGGCCTTTAACTGTATGGAAAGTGTATCTTCTTGATGCATGTTGAAGATATGTAATTAGGGACCTCCTGCCCCAGTCCTACAAGCAACTTCCCTAATCCTCAAAATTTTTTTAAAAATTACTCATTCTAGCTCTCTAACAAATAACAACCCCTTTCATGTGAAAGAGCCTGCTTAGAGCAGATGTGCTTATCATACAGTAAAGATACTGGCCTAAGTGTGACTAACTATCCTTGCCTTCCACAGTCAGCAATACTCGATTTATAGCCGCAGTCATCGAACGTCATGCACACAGTCCAGAAAGGAGGCGTCGCTACTGGGGTCGCTCAGGAACAGAAAGTGATCACGGTAAGATCTGGCATCCTGCCCTTGAGGCCCGGAGGACCCCGAAGTGCTCACGGGCGAGTACTCACACCCACCCTTTCTTCTTTCCTACTCTGCTGGAGTAAATCATTTTGACAGAGTTTTCCAAAAAGCCACATTCCAACATGACACCTTTACAAGAGCCCCCAAGAGATTTTGGCTTATGGCTCAGCATTCCCAGGCAGACGTCAGATAACCTCTGGGCACACAGATAACCCCCTGGGTTTTCTCCATGAAGAAGGGTTCAGATTATTTCAGTGGTAGCGGCTTACCACCCCACTTGGTTCTCAGTGAATCAGCATCTTCTTAGATCCTACTGGCCCCGTGAGGCTTATTGGCAAACAGCAGGATTGTTAAGGGCTCTCTTGGCCACATACTCTCGGGACCTGGAGAGAGTCCACAGTGTCAGCTGGTATCCCCCGGCCCTGGGAAGGCTTTACCAAAGAGACAACACTTACCCTTGGTCTTGAAGGATGATTAAAGAAAACGGAGAGGTAAAGGCTATTAGAGGCAAAGGGGCTAGTGTGTGCAAAGTCATGGAGGTGCGTCTGGTGCTTGTTAGATGCTCAGGAGGGATAGGCGCTGAGCTGTGAGAGAGACTCTGAGTGCTAAGTCCACGGCTGTACCAGCGGCATGGCCACCACGTACCGTCTCACCTTCCCAGTGTCCCTGCGGCTTGTTGTCACAGAGAGCAACAGCTGTGTCCCACTGTCTAGGCAGTTCTGTCCCCATTCCACAGAAATATAAGTGTAGATCCTTTCCTGTAATTGTCAGGCCTTTTTGTTTTTTTATATACCTGTTCCATTTTCCAGAAATCTTTCTTTTCTTCCCAGAATCAGGTCTTTTTATCAATGCATAAATAATGCATTGGTGCTTTTTTTATTCTGCTTTCTCCACATCTACCCTGAAGAAAAAGTCTTCAAGCAGTGTGCTTCCACACCTGTGCTAAAAAATGCAGAAGGGGATATTCGCTAGAGCAACCAATGCTGCCTTTTGCATGACAGCCAGGTCTTCTGAATCCCTTTGGAAAACTGGAGAAGCCAGAGCTCTGATTTGTAAACCAGGGACTCTTAATTTGGGCTCTGAATGACATTGTTCCCACTAACTAAATAGAACCTTCAGGTTTCTATGGAGAGTCAAAGCAGAACTTAAATTTCTCAGCTTCTTTGACTTTCTGCCTTTTTTCCAGAAAAACCTTTGAACCTGCATAAATTTCATTCTACCAGGCAGTTCTGTGCTTCTCCTTTGAATAATAAAACAGGTTTGAGGCTACTAAAGTTCAACAGAAAGAATTTCTTATTCAGCAGAAATACTGAGTCCTTTCTCTCTCTCATTCCCTCTGTGTGTGTCTCTATCGCCTTACCTCCCTCCACCCTCCTTCCCTCTGCCCATCCCCCTCTTTCTCTCCACCCCCCTCCCCCTACCGCCCTCACTGGTAGAAACAACTTCAGTACAAAATTGGAATTCTGAATCACATTTCCAATGCTGCCTTAGCCCTCCCATTGTCTTAGTAAAATGGCACATGAAGCAACAGCTGAGATAAAAGGCATAGTGCCGTGTCAGTATCTAAAAGCCGAGGAATCTAGCTAAGGGCTTCCTTTCTTTCATTTTTCACAATAATTGGATCCCTGTTATCCCCAAGGAATGAAAAATAGCTTATCGTGCAGACAGAATACAACACCAAAAGGAGTGGAAGACACTGACATTCCAGGTAATTCCAAATACACCACAAAATCACTAGCATTTAACCAAGTGCTGTCATATCCCTGAACCTGTATGGCGGGTCACTAAAAGTGACATCAAGCTAACGTCCCCGTGGTGCCCAGAGGATAAGCCGTAGGTACACATTAAACACAGAAATCTGATCCATCAATAGTGGTTTTGTGGCACGAGACACTCAGGCCGGGGTTCTCCTGTTTGGTGAATGTATCAGGCATCTGCTGTTTGCTTGGCCTGGAGGAGCGTGGTGGGAAGGGGGTGGTCTTATTTCTGCCAGGCAGCCTGGTACAGAGCGGCTTATATATGACAGGTCAAGCAGAACTCACTTGGAGTCCTACCTCTCCCTTTCTTTCCAAGTGGTGAGACCTCAGTGAAACTACTTAGACCTCGGTTTCCTAATAATTAAAAGGGGATTAGAAAGTACCCCCAGTAAGGTTGTCGTGAGGATGAAGTGAGATAACACACGGCCAGGCATGAGCTCAGAGCCTGACCTCCTCACCTCCACACCCGCTCTGCCCTCAAAGAATTGGTAATCCAGCAAGAAACTACAAATGCATGCATGTATTCACAAAATTGAGAAAAGGCTGAATATGACAGTTCCCTTAAAGAAGTGGAACAGAGAAAAAGATGGGAACAGGGTTCACTTTTATCTGCAAGTAAATCATGTGAGACCCAGGGCGGGGAGGTGAGGGGACACTGGTGCTCACCCGTGAACTGGTCATGCCATGGTTCTTTGGTACCCCGTGAACTTACTTACACATGAGTCTTCGGGTCTGAGGCACAAAAGGAAACCTCAAAAGAATAAAATATATAAATATATAAGTATTGAACAGACAAGACTTTCTGGGTGTGGTTCAGAGTGGTGATATTACTAGAATTAAAACTAAATGCTCTCAAGCTACACTTGGAGACTCCAGGATGCATTTTTAACTAGAAATCTTTCATGTTGCCAACAAAGTTTTGTATTTTAAAGGAATATGATTTTAATTTTTATCTTAAACACTCAAAATAAGAACGGTTTTGAAAGGTTGAAGCATTTTAGTCAATATTGTAACACCACTTAGCATGATTTTTGCCAGCACTCAGCTATTAACTCTTTTTTTTTTTTACTATTAACTCTTATACTCTGCTTTGCCCATTATTTCTCTTGAAAACATCACATTCTATCTAACCATCAGCTGGCTTATTTTTTAAGTTAAAAACCAATGGTATGTATTTATTCCTTGTGAATCTGTGTTTTAGTTATCATCTCATTAGAAACATTACTCAAATGTACATTAAGCAATATTTTTTCTTTATAAAAGGGAAATTTTCTCCTAGTGAAGTAAATGCCAAAAGACTTAAAACGCTAATGCTGAACCTTGAAAATTTGGTTGAAAAATAAGCAAAGCTATTTTCTAGAGGTGCAGTTATTCTCCTGCAGTTACTCTCTGTGACCACAAGGTGGTGAGTGAGTCCCCAGAGGGACCTAACATCCCTTGACATCAAGAGAGCTTTCTTGGGAACCAGGGGATAAATATATTAGCAGAAAACCAAAGAGCAAAAGCCTAATTTGGCTCTTTTATTCCTGAGTGATGCCTGGCCTCCTTCCTAAAGCCTGTTGTCCCTTGAAAAATCTTTGCAAGAATTTCTCTACATATACCTTTGGATAGTAAAGAAATCTTTCTTTGAAAGTTATTTGTATATATCCTCTGTGTTTTAAATAGTGCTGCCTCCTCCATGAGTCAGAGACCACATCTGTCTTATGCATCACTGTTCCCAGCACTGCACAGAATTGCCTGGCACTGAATAAACACTCAATTAATTTGCTAAGTGACACCATGTGTTTGGCTTCCTCCTGCTTCTCCACAACTCCCTCCCTCCAGATTTCCATTAATTATTGAGATAAGAGAAAGCCTGAGTTACAGAGGGGTTGAGCAATAGTGTCCCACTGAGCAAGTAAAACAAGATTGCTCCAGAGTGACTGGTTCCTTCTGGAAGGATCTCTGCTGGGGTTCTGATCAGAAAATGCTGATGCCCCCAAATTGCCTACACCGTCACCAATCCCCTGGGTCTGTAACCAGCCGGTTTCAGAGCACCCAGACTCTTAAGTCAGAGCTCCAGGCAAGGCCTAGTGAATCCTAGAATGTCTTTAATATTAGATGAGACTGGTAAATGTCACACCAGGCAAAACCAATGACTGAAAATTTTGTGAAATTTTTTTTTTTTAATTAAACACCTGCCTTATGTGAGGCCTAAGCCCTTACACTTTAAGAGTTTTCTAATAGACAAGACAGTCCTATGTTTTTTGTAATATGGTAAAATCTAAGCTAGGGATTGCAGAGAATACCATTTGACATCACAGAAGGGCCACCAGAACTCCTGTGGGTTGGTATGACTGGGTGGGGTGGGTGGTGGTTGGGAAGGTTTCCCAGAAAAGACCTTCAAATGGAACATGAAGCACAGTGATGAGGGAAGTGGGGGAGGGCAAGGCAAGCACAGAGGGACCACTATGAATTTTACACCACGAATGTGGAAATCAACTATCATTACAATGGATGCCTGTAAATGAGCGAGACAGGAAGGCTTCCAGGAGGTATTTGGAGGCAAGATAAAGACAGCCTAGCACTAAAGGTTGGCCAAAAATAATCGACACAGACACTGAGATTTTGCTGAAATGTATTTTCTAGTACTTTGGTCTCTTATGTGTAGAACATCTGTAACTGAGGCTTGGCACTACCAAATCTAAGGAGCTCATTCTGGCTCCTGATCTTTTCATCTTGGGGGAAAAGCATCTCTGTTCCCCCAGCATCTGAACCTAGAAACCTTGAGGATGTTAACCCTCTTGGGCTCCAGAAAGTCCATGTGGTCACCAGAGGCTGCCCTGCCCTGCACTTGAACAGCAGGTTGCTCCACTGAAACACAGCTAATATTTCACTTCAGGGCCCTGCCGTCTCCTCCGGCCAATGCTCAGCCCCCTGTACTCTGAGCCTCGGAGCCCTCCTTCCTTCCATCCAACCTCCTCATTGCCATAAGGGACCATCTTAAAGCACACGTTATGTCATTGCCATCCACCTTCCCCCCAGCTCTTTGACCACCCATCCTGATCTGGTCTCAGCCTGCCTGTCCAGATTCATCTCTCACTCCTTCTCTCGCACATGAAGCTCTTCCCCATTCCTCAAATCCACGGAACCTTTCTGTCTGCTGCATCTTTGCATATGCTCCTCTCCCTGCCTGTGTTATTTTCCACCCCTTTCTTTATCTAGGGAACCCCTCTCTCCCATGAGGGTCACCTTGAATGTCACTTCCTCCAGGGTCCTAGGTCAAGTTCATCAGCGTTGGTATTTCTTTGGGGTACCTCTGGTTTTGTACCTGTACTTCCCCTTCTTGACTGTGGGCTTCTCGGGTGTTGGAACCTCACCTTACCCCTTTTCTGTGGAGCCCCTAGCCTGGCATCAGGCACCAAGAGGGCACTCAGTAATCACAGGCACACAGCAACGAACTCACCTCCTGCCCTGACTTGTTTTTCTGGCTGGGTATGTCTACATATGTTATTCACAGATGCTAAAAATCAAGATGTGCAAAAACAAAATTCATTTCCTTCCCTGAGACTCAGGATCTTGGAGTCTCCCTCTCTCATTATCCCGACAGTAAGTTGCTGTCCAGTCACCCCCACGTCCCCCACATCAAATTTCTAATGAACTTCTATTATTTTTCCACCCCAGAGATGTCTGTCCAATCCCATACTTTTAACTCAACATCTCTCACTCAGGCTGAGGCAATAACCTCTTAACTGCCTCCCTCTCTCTCCTTTTGAGTCAACCTCCAAATTTCCACCATAACTCTGCTTTTAAAATACAAAAATGATCGTGCTATTTTTCTGATCTGCTCAAAACCTTGTAAATTTAAGTCTCTCCTGTAGCTACCTGCTAGCACTCATCTTAGCCACGTGGTAAAGGAATGGTCGTGTGTCCTCTTGGCCACGCTCTTCCGTTCCTGTGCTCCTATCCACTTCACCAAACTCCTACTCATCCATTACAGCCCAACTAAAATATGAGTTCTTCTGTGAAACTTTCCCAGTCTGGTTAAGAATCTGCCTGCAGTGCAGGAGATGCACATTCAATTCCTGGATCTGAAAGATCCCCTGGAGGAGAGAATGGCAACCCACTCCAGTATTCTTGCCTAGAGAATCCCATGGACAGAGGAGGGTGGTGGGCTACAGTCCATGGGGTCACAAAAGAGTCAGACATAACAGCACATGCTGGGTTTCAATTAAACCTCCCTTAGAACACTTACGATGAACTTCACTATCTCAAGCACTAGCAAATGAGCTGCTCGTACAAGGGATCAGGTTTTCATCTCCAGGTCTCCTACAGTGCCCAGCACAGTGTCTTACACAAGGTAGATGCCCAGTAAATATTTGTTGAGTTGGACTGAAAGAATTCTGTCGCTTGAACATTTCATTGAGGACTGAGAATTGCCTTTCTCATTTTCACACGAAGCATAACATTTTCAACCACAAACTATTCCTGCTTAGCTGTATGCAAGCATGTCAATTTTGCAGCCACGAATGTGACTAGCACTACCCACGGGTAAGTGTTGATTGATGCTAACTGTAGATGCAGCGGAAATATTAACGAGCTGTCACTTCTCAAAATTCTTGAAGGGTTTTTTTTTTTTTTCAATATTTAAAAACATGCCAAGGTTCTTGGAATGGAATCCTTTGATCAGCAAGGGCATTTTCTTTTGAAACATGTATTACTTAGAATACCAAGAGAAATTAATCTAAGTACAGTGAACGAGCTTACACAAAGAATAGCTGATTCCTTTGCTAGTTGCTGTGGGTGTCTGTGGAGTTAGTGTTTTGTTAGGGACTGAAACTCAGGCAAGTTCATTAACCTCTCTGATTGTCGCTTCCCTCACCTGTAAAATGGATTTTAAAATACATGCCTTGTTGGTGTGTAGAGATTACATGACACCAGGGCTGGCATGGTGGCAGCTGTCTTTGTTCTCACTGTGGTATCACATTCAGGCGTTTTGAAGCTGCCTTTTTTTCTCCCCCTCCTCTCTAAAGTAAAAAATAGTCTTGTCTCAGGGAAAAGCATAGAAGGTTGTTTCCCCAAATGTCAATTGTGGTGATCTGTGGATCAGAAAAAATTGGGATGATTTTCAGTTTTGTTTTGTTGGTTTAAGGGATTGGGGGAAAGGGTTCTTGTTTATATTGTTTTAAATGATTATGTATTTATTGTGTAATTGCTTTAAGACAACAACTAAGGAAAGATCTCTTTAAAAGTAAGTCACTTCAGGGTCTGCTGGCAGCCTGCAAACATTGGCACTTACCTAGTCCAAAGGTAGGAGCGACTCCCAGTGCCTGCAGAAATCTGCCAGGACATCTCCTCCCTCCTCAGCTGCCTCTTTGTTGTGTTCACTTTCTAGGTTACAGCACCATGAGCCCACAGGAAGACAGCGAAAACCCTCCGTGCACCAGTGACCCCTTGTCGGCCGGGGTGGACGTGGGAAACCACGATGAGGATTTGGAGCTGGACACGCCACCCCAGACCGCCGCGCTCCTGAGTCATAAGTTCCACCACTACCGCCTGCATCACCCGACGCTGCATCACAGCCACCATCTGCAGGCGGCCGTGACCGTGCACACTGTGGACGCGGAGTGCTAACCCCTCGGCTCCGTCCGAAGACGAGGTCCGGGAGCCACAGAATGTTCTGGAGGGAAGAAGAGCCAGCATCCAATCCACTCGTGTCTGTGCTTTGTCCAGAGTCAGTGAACTCACCTTCCTGCCTGTGAACATGTTTCCAAACAAGTGCAACAGCCGCAGCACCACATTTGTGAAGATGCGAGGCTGGTTGTGAAATGGAGGGGAAAGAAGTCTGATTAATGAACCTGCCATCACACCAATGGAATGAACAGACACAAACCTCTAAACAGAGCCGGAACCTATAAATGAAACTTTGGGAACCTCGGTTAAGCTGAGCCAGAGGAATGTTCCGAGGAGCCAGAAACATTCTGCTCTCCTTAACTGGAAGAAAAGAGAGGTCTGCTCCCCTGGAGACTGAGAACGTGGCAGAGGCAGAGAGAAGTGTGTCTTTGAAGACTTCACCTGGTTTCTTAGCGGTACCTAGATGTGCTAGACGTGCTGTACAGAACTCATACTAAGCTCTAAATGATGCATCTCAAAATTTCTAAGTAAAGGATTATTTTTCTACTATTTATTGAACTTTCAAAACATTCTCAAACTTTGGGAGAAAGAAAAGGAAACACATGAGAAATTTTCAGCAATTATTCCTAGCTGTTTTGTGTGTATTAAAGTGGTTTTTTGATTCAGAAGTTCTAGTTCTTATTTAATGGATACCATCCCACTGCCTCACTCCACCAAAAAAAAAAAAAGGGAAAATGAAGAAATCTTTCTCTCTGACTTGTTTGCATACACTTTCTTTAGAACATCATGTCATGGAAATACATCTTGATTTGCAAAGCAGTATTCTTTCTCTGTTTGACAGAGGTGGGGAGGGGCAGTCCAGGAAGCTTTCAGAGAAATTTTATGTTTCTTTTTAACTCATTTCCACTTCCCATACAGTTCTTTCCTTAGGTTTCTACGAAACCTAATATTACAATGCCAGCCTTTCAGCTAAAGGAGGGTTGGATTTATTCTCCTTGTTTTAAAGACTATAAATTTTTTAATGTCCCATTTTGATTCTGAGAATATTGAACACATAAAAGAAGTTTTTCAAACACAGAATTTTCATTCTTAAAGATTTCTTTTGAAATCATAGTTAAAAGCTGCTGCCAGTTACCCAAGAAGATGTCCACCTATCTTTGTGGATATCCACAACTGCTTTGTGAGGTACACAGGGGTTTATCAAATCTGGCTGATATAACATGGGGCATTGTAATTTTAAAGTAGTGTTCTAATTACAGTGATGTATTTTAGATTCACATTTTGTGATCCAGATATGTTATAAAGACATTCTTGCACCGTGTGTGTGGTAAATCTCCATTTATATGTAGTTGGAAAAAAATTCACTGAATAATGTTTTAATGATAGGGTGTTACGATATAATGTAAAAAAAAAAAAATTGGTTCTTCAACAGTACAGAAAGTAAACTATATGTGTGCTATCAGGAAACCTCTTCATACTGTGTATAAAATTGCAGCCTAGTGAAATAAACTGTATGAATGGACAGTTTCAATGGCTGTAGTGATTTCTTAATGGACCACTTCTCATGCCTCAGGGCAACTTACATTCACTTTAACGTAGCAGATCAGTTATCAAACTGAAAGGAGGCCTCCTTTCAATGTCACAGTCAAGTTCAGAGCCTTCCTGACCATCTTGAATATGCAAAGAAATTTAAGACTCTAATGGGTTAAAATTAAAAGCAAATAAAATGTGTGGAATGTAGCTCCCCCTTTCTGAGCATCTAAATTTGTGTCATTAATAATAAATAAATGACTCCTCTCAAATTTCTGGGGGATGAATGACTGTCCTGTCTTCTCCGTGGAACACTGGGTCTTTTCTCAAGTTGAGAACCTTTGTGTTATGACCTCTTGATAGATGGGGAACTTGGTTATTTTCAAGAAAAGAATCACCAAACTTCGAGCTTAAAAAATAAGATATGGACAGCCTACTCAAAGACAATGAGAAAAATGTATTTTGTGAGTCTTTGAGAAGACTCTCTCCCGATCATGAACTTTTGGGGAAAGTAATTGAATGCTTATACTTGAATAAGAACACAACGGAGTTTTGCAGTTCCTGGAATACATGACATACAGGTTTGTGAGGTTTAGGTTGAAGTTTTGATCTTCTAAGTTACCTTTTATCTTCTCAAGTATTGCATATAATGTTTAAATATTTCTTGTTTGCATTTTCATTGTTATTTAAAAGGAAATATATGGTTTTGGAAACTTGTGATCAGGGCAATCAATATTGGCTCCTTTGCCCAGGTTATATTGCTTATTTTTTGTCTGTTTTGCTTTGTTTTTTGGTGTTTCTCTTATACAGCAAAGTGAATCAGATGCACACACACACACATTCTTGATTCTGTTCCCATACAGGCCATTACAGGGTCCTGAGCAGAGTTCCCTGTGCTTTACAGTAGGTTCTTTCTACTTTATATAGAGAGTGTGTGCATCAACCCCAGTCTCCCAACTTATCCCTCCTCCTCACTTTCCCCCTTGGTGACTCCTGTGATTCTGTTTCTATTTTTTCAATAGGTTCATTTGTACCATTTTTTCTTAGATTCCACATATAAGCAATATCATATATTTGTCTTCCTCTGTCTTACGTCCCACAGTATGACAATCTCTCGGTCCATCCATGTTGCTGTAAACTGGCATTATTACATTCTTTTTATAGCTGAGTAACATTCCATTGTGTATATGTACCACATCTTTATCTGTTCCCCCATCAATGGATGTTGTATTGCTTCCATGTCCTGGCTATTGTAAATAGTGCTGCAATGAACATTAAGGTATGTTATCTTTTTGAATTATGGTTTTATCCATATATATGTCCAGGAGTGGGATTGCTGGATCATATGGTAGCTCTGTTTTTAGTTTGTTAAGAAACCTCCATACTGTTCTCCACAGCGGCGTACCAATTTACATTCCCACCAGCAGTGTAGGAGGGTTCCATTTTCTCCATACCCTCTCCAGCACTTCTTTGTAGATTTTTTTGGTGGTAGCCATTGTGACCTAAATGGGGTGATAACCTCATTGTAGTTGTGTTTTAGGCTGTGCTGGGTCTTCATGGCTGCACACGGGCTTTCCCTAGTTGCGGTGAGTGGGGGCCACTCGCTAGCTGCGGGGCACAGGCTTCTCGTGGTGGTGGCTTGCTGCACAACACAGACGCTAGGAGCACAGGCTTCAGTCGTTGCAACACTCGGGCTCGGTAGTTGCGGCTCATGGATTTAGTTGCTGCACGGCATGTGGAATCTTGCCAGACCAGGGATCAAACTTGCACTGGCAGGTAGATTCTTATCCACTGCATCACCAGGGAAGTCCTCATTGTAGTTTTGATTTTAATTTCTCTAATAATGAGTGGTGTCGAGCATTTTTTCATGTGCCTCTGGGCCATCTGTATGTCTTCTTTGGAGAAATGTCTATTTAGATCTTCCACCCAGTTTTTGATTGCACTGCTTGTCTTTTTGATATTGAGCTTCATGTACTGTTTGTATATTTTGGATATTAATCCCTTCCCAGCTGCTTCATTTGCAAAATATTTTCTCCCATTCTGTGGGTTGTTAACATTGCTTGTTAAACAAGTCTCTCCTGACATCCAGGAAATGAGGGGGATTCCATCAATCCCTCTCATTCACAAAGGCCTCTTTCCATCCATAGCCAACCTTGCTTGTCAGTGCAGACAAGTACCAAGAGCTAAGGGTGTTCCAGGTTACTTTACACAGCTAGACAAGGAATCTCATATTTGTGGGCCCAACAAAACACTGTTCAGGCTCAGACCAATTCTTGTGGCAGATGTTCATCTGCTTTTTGGGTGCCTTTACTTCGGGGAATGTGTGGCAGTTTTTCCTTGCTGTACTTCTTGATAGAATTTGGATGTTCAGCTAAACCTTATTAATATTTTCATTTGAAAGACTTTATGCAGTTTATTCTGACGGGTTTATTTTGCCTGTTAGAGTGACTAGTATGTGGGAAGTCCTGGAAGATCACTTAAGCTCATTTCTCGGTAGCAATGGCCTGCTGTAATGATTACACTTCTTAGAATACATTTATGCTAGAAAAATCAAACAGAACAGCCTAGTGTCATCTTTGTCCTCTGGGAACAGAGGAGTGGTAATTTTCCTGCCTGAAATCAATGCTGTATTCAGAATTTTTTCTAATCTTTCAGTAAAATAGTTGAAAAACATTTCTCTGTGGCTATTATAGCTATATAAAATGATCTGTTTAATAGCCAGCGTGTGTGTGTGTATCAATACATGTAGATATATAGACACCTGAGATTATTCTGGTTTTCCTCCAACCTCTCTGTTCAGTCCTAAATTACAAATTAAGGCTTCTTCCCTTAATTCAGTGTTTCTTAACTTTTTATTTTGAATGACTGTGTTGATGGAAGCTCTTCAGCATTTGTGTATTTCTTTTTTTAAAATATTTATTTATTTCTTTGGCTGTATCAGGTCTTAGTTGTGGCATACAGAATCTTCACTGTGGCATGCAGAATCTTTTTTTTTTTTTTTTCAGTTGCATCCTGTGAAATTTTTAATTGTAACTTGCAAACTCTTCTTTGTGGCACGTGGGATCTAGTTCCCTGACCAGGGATCAAACCCAGGCCGCTGCATTGGGAGCACAGAGTCTTGGTCAGCAGACCACCAGGAAAGCCAAACTTAACTGTTTAAAAATACATTATTGCAACTCTCCTAAAAAGAAAATTTTGTTTAATTAAAATTCATCCTAACAAGAGAAGTGAAATACCAGAGGGTAAGATCTGTCATAGCTTTGGAGGGCTGCAAGCCATTGTAATATCTGATTCCTTTTACTCCACCAAGACTCCATTTCACCCCTTTGTGGGCAGTATCTACCCCATTTGAGAATGTTCTGTCCTCAGCCCCCTTTTCATTACTTGCTTGAGAATGTACAGCATTGAAGTGAGAGCAAGGAGGCCTGGGGCTCTGATCCCAGGTTCAGAACTTCCTGGACATCCTCACT